ATGGCAGTTATCAAAAATTTAAATTTCATAGCTTAGGTAGATACTCTGTATTTGATTACAGTTTACACACACATAATAAAAGATTAAAAAAACTTACCAGTCTTTTTCTTTTCCGCTGCTGACAATTGATAATATCTATCTTCTAAATATTGGAAAACCTCCTGCCAACTGTTTTCTCTCAGTATTTTATTTTTACTATTCTCATTTGTTTCGTCCCAAAGACACGGTTTTGATTCAACAAGTTCTATAAGGGTAACAATGTCATACTTGAAATTAGCCATGTCAACTAGAAGACGTCAACGACACGAGTGGAGTGGTTGCCCTTCGCCGACATGTCGGTGCCTGTAACGACACGACACCGACATATCGGCGAGTGTAAAAGCGTTCCCGTTTAATTAAATGATATTACGTGTCCACCGGTATCGTTGTCGTTGTCGTGTCGGTGTCGTGTCGGCTAGTGTGAAAACGCCCATAGACTCGTTATGTCGGACAAAAACGCGGTGGTCAACCGTCCACTGCTCCGTAATAGTCCATATTTATAAAAAAAAGTTTTACCTTTTGCTTTAAAAAAATAAAGCAATTCCTTCAAAGTATATGCATAAAAAGAACTGAAGGAAAAGGTCTCGCTTCTGTAAAGTAAAAGGTTTTAACGTTTTCTTATTTATTAAAAGAAGCATTTGCTTGAAAACTAAAGGATTTGCTTCTAAAAAAAGGAATCTAGGTTACAGCAACTTTTCTCATTTTATCATTAGTTGTCCCGGCATCTTAGAGCCTGCATCTTAAAATTTGTGCATTTTCGTTTAATAAAATCTATTTGTAAGGGCTTGTTTAAGTGATCTTTGGTTGATTAGTCGCAGTATTGTGTTAGTTATGGCTAATGTGGTGCATTTACGTACAAGAAAATACTACAAACCAAGACGTACACACCTCCTGAGTCAGATTTCAAGACGTTGTTTAGATTTGAGGAGGAAAATGTGGTGTGGTTGGCAAATTACTTTCTTGGCATGGATTTCGAAACTCGTGGAGCAGCCCAGTCACCTGTGCAGAAAATGAAAATATTTCTGCGGTATTGTGCGAACCCTGGATTTCAGAGCGAAATAGCTGAAGAATTGGGATGTTCGCAGCCCACAGTGTCCAGAATATTTCATGACGTGCTAGAGCGAATTGTACAACAAGCCGGAGAATTATCAAATACAGAAAATCAAATTATGCAGGCCAAAGAGAAATGGTTGACCAGGTTCTGTTTTCCCACATCTATTGGAGTTATCGACTGCACGCATATTCGTCTTGATGGGAAACCAGCCCAATTTGGAGACGAATATGTAAATCGAAAAGGTTTTGCCAGTATTAATGTACAGGTTATATGCGACCAGAATTCTGTTATAACTAGTATAGATGCAAGTTGGCCTGGATAAGTCCATGATGCTCGTATATGGAAAAATTCGGCAGTGTGTGAAGTCATAAAAAAGACAAGAAACACTATTCTTCTAGGGGACAGTGGGTATTGTATAATGTCATGTCTTATGACTCCTTACACCGACCCCCAAAAAGAATATCAGAGAGTCATACATTTGGGCAAGTAAAGTGGCGATTTCCTATCCTGAAGTATGGATGCAGAGTAAAACTGACCAGTATTCCAAAAGTTATAATTGAGTGTGCTGTGTTGCACAATATAGCTAAGCAATTGAGAGATGAAGATTTTCAAGAAAATGACGAAGATGAAGAACAGGACTTGCCATTTATAGAGAATGAAAATGTAGATGCTATTCGCGCACAAGGAAAAGGCGGCGAGAGGAATTAGCTCGTCTTATTACCAATAACAATATAGGTGGTATAATTAGGATTAAAACTTTCATGTAATGCTATGTATATGTCGTTTACTTCAAACGTACAAAGATGTATTTACGTAAACTAAAAATAAACTTACACGTTTGAACTGGAAAAAAACGTTTTATTATTTTTTTTGTTATAAATGATACATATTACATATACGTCTATTTACAAGTGTTGGTAAATATTATCTCCAACAACAACATACTCTTGCGGGGCTTTTTCGTTTGATGCCTCGTTTAAATTTTTTAGCTTGGCAGAGTAATATTGTTGTTGGAGACGAGCAACTTTCAGTTGTTCAACTAAAACTAATCGTTGAAGCTGGGTTGTCGTTAACTGCCTCGTCTCGTCAGACTCTTGTTTGCCCGAAGCAAAGGTAGGCTTCGGAGGAATTTTTTTGCAGCAACCTCTTCAACCGATGTGTAGGATCGCTTTTTGTTAGCTACTACTTGAGGCATAATCATCTTATTGGCGTCGTTTTCCCATAATGTCATCCTTTGAAGTAGGTAAAGAAGGTTGACTTGCCACGCCAATTGCAAGAGCCCTTAATAAAAATATACATGCATGATAAGTACCTACAAGGTAGTAGTAAAGACCTGAATCTATTTCTCACCTGGTACCCGACTTAGTACAGGATTTATGTCCGCATCCATAGCCTTTAACTTTCTCACAGGACAAAAGACGAATGGGCTTGTTCCCTGTTTTATTTTTGTCAGTTTTATTTTTCAGTCGCGTTTTCATATTGTTCACTTTTTTCATAAAAGCTTTAATATCCATCTCCTTGCCAAATAAAGTAACGTATTCCTTAACTATATCAGTTAATGCAGCAGTTTTCTTCTTTTTCATCGCTGGAACTTGAGATTTCTCGAGAATCTCCGGAAAGGCTTGGACTTTTTCAGCGATAAACATCATCTCGTTAGGGGCATCTTCGGTAACTTCCTGTTCACTATCGGTGTCAGACATTTTAAATATTTTATTCACTTTAAAATAGCTGCACAAATAAGTTAGATGGATCTTGTTTACATCAACTGACGTGCCAACTGCTTTTAATTATGAGACAAATAAGATCAACCCCATCAGTTACAGACCACATACGCGTTGATTGCACGCTGCAAGTCATATCTTGTCGAAATCGCTAATCTCAGTACCTTTTACTTTATTTTCTCGAAGCAATTGCTTGCAAGGAAGAGGTAGAGATTATGAATACGAATTAGAGCAAAACCTTTTACTTGTACCTTTTGCTTGTACCTTTTACTTCAAAGTAAATCCTTCATTTTTATAACTACGGGCTAATGTCTTCCGGTAAAGATGCTAGGAACGCCCGAGTCGAACGGCGCTCTACCGTCCCCTTCACCGCTCTCGCCCCAATAGGCAGAGAGTACTAGCCATTTCAAAAAACATCCGTGCTTTATGCCGAACCTTGCACAACTTAGCACGTTATAGATCTCAACAGGTAGGACAGGAACACAACCTCATAGTTGAGCAGTCAGTATCAAAAAGTCGTTATATCAAGAGAAGGCACATCGTGAAATGCCTTTATAATTCCCCAATCGGCCCCATTGCCCTTGGAAGTCTTGTGCATTATAGTAGGGAAGCCGACTGTAAATGTTTTTATCGCGTACTAATATAATACGATCAAAACTATAATAGTCACATCTTACGTATTTTGATGCTAAACAGCAAGCTTGCCGAGTTTTCTCTTTAGCAAGTACGTGAGATGTGAATAGTTTTTAACGGTTGAATTTGAACAAAAAATGCACACAAGTGATGGTCACTGAATTCATCCAAAAATAATCATCTATCTGGTGTTTATCTGCAACTAAAAACCACGTTTTTGGGCTCATGTTTTATCTCTTTCTAGTTTTATTCGTCTTGTCTGTCTTCTCTTTTATAACTACCCTTTGGTAAAATAGCGCGCCGCTACCTGCATATTACGATACGACAAAAGTTAACTTACCAAGCGGCATGTAGCTAAATTGAACAAGTATTTTTTATGCCGAGTCCACACCAAACCAGCAAAACAGAAGCAAAACAGCAACTCAATGTTTTTCAACAATTAAGCAAGAAATCGTCAACAATTCGTGTTTTGTTTCTGTTTCTGGCAACTTTTGGCGTTCCCGTCGGGAGTTGGTAAAGATCAAGAGGTTTCTGTTTTGTTTTCATTTCAGGCAACATTGTCGGTGCGATGTGTACTTTGTTGCGAATCAAACTTACCTTAACACATTCTTTGAGGTCTTAAGTTAGGGCATCACAAGTTTCCGGTATTTTTATCGATATTGGTTGTCACGATATTTTTGACCGATACACCAAGCTATGATAAGAGTCTCCGGTCGCCAAACACCTTAGTGTTACGGTCAAAAATTCAACTACGTTAATGGTATTTCTGAAACTGGTATTTTTTATAAATTTCAGGACCGATCAGCTATACCTGTATTAATTCTTCAAAGTTTTCACTGGATATTCTTAAAAAGTTCTCGAAACAGGAATGCATTTCTCCTCGCAATCCAATATCATCTTTACGCAAATCGGACAATAATTTTTCAATACACCGATCATCTCTTTCACGTAAGGATGGCTTCACCCAAAAGCGTTTTTTATTTTCCCGGTCACAACTCTGGAGAAACATAACCAGCAGACATTATGATAAAATATTTGCGCATCTTTTATGTATCTTGGCAATGTGGACATAAGTCTTCATTTTATTTTGTTTCCAAAAAGTTGCTCATTTGTTGAGTTTCTGTTTTGTTACTTGTTTTTGTTTTATTGCTTTGATGTGGACCCGGCATTACAGATACAACACTCGACAGAATATTTTCCTTCATCTTTGGACAAAATCTACTTTAGTTCATCAATTTTCTTATTTTTAGTGCGTTCTATCGTATTGTTTTTATAGTATACTCGTAAACGCCCTTCACTGGCGTTGACCCCCGACCACATACGCGCCGCCTATCGGAAGCAAAAACGCACATCACTGCCATTATATTTTATACTTGTCCATAAACACCACGTGTACAGGAAGGCTCAAACTTGAGTGGGTAAAATATTGCCCGATAAGCAAACTTTTTAAAGGGATTATTATGCGCCGTTAAGAATGGATTTCAAAAATGTGCAGGATTGTACGGGGTCACCCTGTTGAGATGCATATCATATTTGTTTTTTAACGATTGCAGATTCGAATGGTCTCCATGAAAATATGCTAACAATAGAGTGAAAAAGAAAGAATCAAGTATTATGTGTTTTTGAGAATTCGTATACCTATTTGACTCGAACAATTCAAGGACGGGATAAACGATGTATCAACTGAAGAATATATCTTCTTAGAGCAAATTCAATTTCCTTGTCTATTAAAGCGGTCGAGGTACTAGTTGCAATACTTTCATTTTCTACAAAGTACGTAATCATTATCTCAATAACCATTCGAAATGATTCAGAACTAAGTCCACCCAGATATGTAGAAAACTATAGGTGTCTATCTAGAAAGCAACTGTGTTTTCCAGGTTATAGTTGGTCATCGACCAGTGTCAATAACAGAACAAAAAAAATGTCGAGCACACAGTATGAAAAAATTGTTGTGTCAGAGAAGTGTATATAGACACATATGTTAGAAAGAGATAGAAGCCGGGTGGTTAGCGAAACTCATCACCGCGTTGCCTAGCTACGAAACCTTTCGATACGGAACATACACTGCCGAAAATCGAAGTTGTTTTTTCTACAACCCTCAAAATAATGTCCACTTTGTTCTAATGCACGACTAGATTGTCAAATACGTTCACTAATAAAAATAGGTATAAAAATACTAGGAAATTCATTAGAAAACGAATCATTATTTATTTAACATTTAAGCGAAACAACTATACTCGTACTACATATTACAGATATGCTTATCAAATATAAAGTATATAAAACATAAGGTATTACAAAACAATACTACAAATTAATCAAAGTTCAAAATTTTAGAAATTCAATTCTTCATCAGCCAGCGATGAAAAAATAATAGTTCTGACATTTGATAATCTGTTCCGGATTTGGCAGAGTATATTTCCGACTTCAGAAAAGAGTCTCTCTGAGGGAACTGATGTGCCAACAATAGAGAGATACTTATTAACCAGTTCTTTAAATATCTCCGAGGAAGAACTGGTATTCCGATACAAAAAAGGATCCGAGTTTAGGGGCATGGTATGACTATTTAAATACAGTTTTAGCTCAAGATCGATATCTGATTTAGTATCATCATGTCTATCTGCATGATTTTGGGCCAGTTTTTCATAGTAGGCCCACAACAATATTAATTTAATTTTGCCCTGCTTTTTAAGTATTTATTTCCTTCTTGCGTAACTGAAATGATTTAGGAAAGTGACTGCGTTTGGACACGAAAGTGCAATCCTTTAAAAAAGTGTTATTGTTTTAAGAGCTAAAGCCTCTGTTGTTGAAGGAATCAAATTTTAATTTTGTTTAAACCGTCAGCTATACAATAATAAAATAAATAAAATTGTATCCCTGTAAAATATGCTTCCCCAAAAAAAATCCCAGAAAAAAATATCCCCAAAATATTCCCCATTGTAATAAAAATACCCTAATATGGCAACCATGGAATAAATCATGTGGGGTCGTGAGGTTGAGTAGCACCAGCGGGAGGAAACAAAGAAGAAAAGTAATCTGAAGTTAGTCACTCTTTCTGACACAGTCCGGATCGAAAGATAACGATACTCGTGAAATGTATCGATACACTCAAGTATTGTATATAAAAATATCCTGACCTTCTGCGTCACCGTTGCTAGGCAATGTGGTAATGAGCTTCGCTATCCAAGGGGCTTCTATCTCTTTCTAACATGTGTTAATACACACTTCTCGCGCTTCATGCTCATTGAACTCAAACCATCTGACAAATTTGGTTTTAACAGTATACGAGTATCTTATATTGAGCCCATCATACGCTGTGATAGGGTATGGACTGTCTCGGAAACTACTCATGGACACCTTTTTCTCAAGTGTTGAGTTGAGATTAACAACATACTAAATTAAAAACAAATAGCCGAAAACCATTTCCCAGAAGCTTTCTAGGGAGTCTTTGGAACAGTGTATTGAATTTAATTCGATCGAAGCCAGTGAAGACGAAAGCGGAGATTTTTAACTGAGAAACCTCAAAAAACTTAAAGGCATATTACTACTATTTATTATTTAATAATAATTCCATAAATTGCTGCGTACCTGCAATCTCGGTCGAAACCCGCTTTATGTCTCAGTGTATCAGATTATCCCAGTGTACAAAGTTTCGTTGACTTGAAGGGGAAGAAAATGGAATTTTTACACTGTGGGACGTCAAAATTAAAAACAAATAAATGTTCAACCAAGTTACATATGTAATGGTATCGACCAAAACGCTGAGATTATTGGGAGTCGATAAGTGGTCTATTTTTCTACTTTAAATAGGGCTTCGCGAAGATTTTTTGATGACCATCAGAACCAGCGTCCCAAATTATATTAATAAAAATGGCGCTAACTAGATTTCCTACGCAACACTGTCATCAGTTCGTAAAGGATTACGTTTCAAAAAAAGAGTTATCTACGAACATATATAACAAAAAAAAATTTCTCATCTGCCCAAACGACAGTACCAGCCATCTGGCAACGCGAGTGTTGAAAATATAACTCTATTAGTCTAAATTTTAAGGGCAAATGTACGGGAAAGTTCATGATGTGTTCTGTGTAATAGCTTCTTAGAATTACCGGAGGCACCACTCTTCCACCCCTCGCAACTTCTAACCCCACATTTTTAATCCGTACGAAAGGTATTTTAAAAAATGATCAGGAACCTCCGAAACGTCAGAAAACGAAGGTCGAGCCGCTAGCTCCGCGTCCAATCAATTGATTTCCAAAATTACAAAGCCTTTTCGTACTTAGCATAGCACAAACCTTCTATGGATAGCAGTAATAGCAGTAATTTGTTGCCAATTGGCGTCGGAAGTTTAGAATGTTAAGTTTCTTAAGGTCAGATTAGTTCTAGATAATACTCTATCTAAATTCGCAATACTGATAATACATGATTTAAAAATTCCAGGTTCTCTATATGACAGATCTTCAACAAAAGTAGATTCAGCCGGTGCAAGAAAAATCATCATAAACTGTATTGCTGATTTAGATAAAGTAAAGGAGTTTTTGGAAAGTGATACAGATCGTTCCCGCCACACAAGCCAGAAATCTGTTTCAGAAAGTCAAAAATCTGATTCGAGGTACTCCCAAAGAGGTGAGACCAGTGAAGATCCGCAGACGGTGTCTGGAGAAGGTTCGAGCAGCGCGCAGGAGATCCTTTTGGAAGAGGTATTTTAGATTTTTTATCAATACAATCACAAAAATATCCCCTTTTGTGTACCAATGTTGGTTGGATTTTAAGACCTGCCTTTCTGACTAGGTTAAGTGACGTATACAATTGATTAACGTATTCTACCTGAGGAGATCCAACCTAATGCTACATTCCTGCGCCCAAAAAATTATCCAAGATAAACCAGATACCGTAGCGTCATCTATGAGAACTTGTTACAGCTTTCTCTCTACTTACTATATTTACCATTTACGATTTATTCATCACATTGTGTATATACAATATACACGCGAGGTCTTACAAACTAATTTATTATCTATCCGACGTCAAAGCATCCACGTACTCATCAACCAAATAGAAATAGTGATTAAGCAATGTTTGAGAAGAGGCGATTGAACATATTTTTAAAATTGTTTTTTTTTGTTTTGACGAATAAATTATATAATTTTGTTAGCTCTATAATTTTTGTCATTCAGTCGCGAGTATAGATTCCTTAGGTAATGTTAATTACGGCATGGGTGCGTATTTCTGCGTAGGTTTGATGTTTGCTTAGATTTCTGTACACATAACATATTACTTGCCATAGTATTTTAATTTTTTCAATAGTATATTTGAATTGACAATGATTTTTTTTTTGATAAGTCACACGTGGTAGCCCTAGTGCAAATGGTACTATAAAAGTTTATAAATAGGACTTAACAAACGGACACACCAGGCAGCATGTTACTGCATGTTCAGACATGTCCACGAGTGCATAGTAGCCGCCAGCAGTACGTCTGTTTATTTAGTTGTTCATTCGTATTCACAGTGTAAAGTGCGGATTATGGCACCGTGGTCACGAAGTGAGATAAGAGCAGTCCTTTGCTATAACTTTACGCGTGGTTTAAGCATAGACCAGTGGTTAGAAAAAATTCCGCTTGCATTTTACGAACGATTGTTCTTATATATTATATTCAGGTGGCACAGAGAACTCCAAAGGGGCAGAAGTGTATCGGATGTGGTGGAAATTACTTTGGACGAAGTTGATAAATAAAGCTGTATTGCAAAACTTTTATAGTACCCTTTGTATTATAATAAGTGATTTTATTGAGGTTGAAGTATTTCGAAATCCACATTGTGCTACAGATCAGATAGATTTATTTTCGCAAGAATCTCAAAGAATATCTCAAATTATAGGTATATTTGCAATGTACACGTCTGTAATTATCGGCGGAGTCACTGTCCCGTTTTTGATAAAAGGGATAATTTTACATATTTTTAATACATACTTTGAACACATTGAAAAAGTTAGGTATCTAGGGTATGTTACCCACACCTCCGCCTATGATGAGGTAATAAATATTAACGATTATGGTTAGGATATTTCGATGCATCGGAAGGATCTGCTTTGTTTATATTGTAAGGGTGAGGCAGACATTGGGTACCGCGCCCTAACGCTTAATATATGGCATTTCAAGTCCGCGCCGAGTTATTATTGGTATTTCTACTTGGAAAATGGATTGTCTTGACATAAACCAGTTTGAAGTGGCAGGCAATGTCGGCTTTGACAGTGCGTTTAACACAATGTATTTCGTTATAAAACTACTGTCAGGTTCGCGGTGGAGCATCATACAATTGTTGCCCTTTTGAGACAATATGTCAACATATATATTCTTCCAATACCACCGAAGATTTACAACTAATTCCGTTCTTAGTCAGTTCCCAAGATTTTGGATTTTATAATTGCATAAAATATGTGCCATAGCGGTTAGCACTGATAAGTTTAGCCTTCCTATCCTACCTGAAAACAGCCAACCTTGTACTATATTCGCGAATCCGAAAAATTATTCGAGATGAAATGAGATACCGTAGCGTCATCTATGAGAATTTGTCACAGCTACGTGTCTCCTCTCCGAAATGATTAGAAATATACTTTAAAAAGGTTAGCGTCTTGTAGATGGCGCTGTAGCTTTATGCTCATATTTGTTGGTTACAGAGCCATCTATGAAACACCTTCCAAAGCCGATTTCTATTAATAGCGGGCGGACTCGTGAATATAGTTTTAGGTTGGCTATCTTCAGGTAGAATAACTCAGTCATTGCTTTGACGATATATACGGTCTGGTTAGTCACTGTTCTCCATCTTTTTCAGAGCGATCTGAACTCCAGCAAAATAGTAATCTGCATCAAAGGACAGAACGAAGAGGATCTGCAGATTGTGATCAGACAATGTCCGGAGTGCAAGCAGAACAACATCGAACCTGCTCCTCAACCACAACTTCAACCTCAACCTTTAGCAATAGCAGTACCACCACCGCCACCACCTCCTCCCCCAGCTAGGGTCCTGCCCCCCAGACAACCCTCAATACGATTCTCAAATTCTAATGTTAACGTGCCGCCTGACGGTGATCCATCGTCGTTGAGGGGTCGTGAAGTCGTCATGGTGCAAGGTAAAAATAACTCAATATAGAAAGAGAGTGGCACGCCACTGATTTTCTTAAAGTAAGAAATATCCAAATCTGCATTCATTTTTGAGCAGATTTGGCCACTTTAATTTTTTTAACCCGACGCAAATAATAGCTATTTTTCTGCATCGTGGTATTGATATACTAACGATAATGTTATGATGATACATTTTTACTTAGTATGTTAAAACTGTGTGATAGTATTGCAATCGCAAAAAATTCACTGTCGACTGTGCAATGGGTAACAAACTCCAACTGGTTTGCGGTGGTGTCGTCACTGCTACACCGCTACTGGAGAAATATTTATGTTTTCGCAATATTTGGATATTATCGTTATACGTACACTTTAGCGTTCTGCGATGCTTTTGTAAATGATTACTTAAGGCGGCTCCGACGCAGTGAGTTTCAAGCCATTTACAAGGGTTCAGCTGCTTCGAAACTGACACTCCATTTTTCAGTATTTCTGAATGAAATTGATACCATATGTTCAGAAGATAATTGCCCAGGGTGCTATAGGAGCACTTTTTGAATTTTGTTTTTGCACAAGTTTTATGATGGGTTGAAGTGCGCACTTTTCATGTTCAACTTCGCGATTTTTTTAAAAAGAATCTAGTGAAAAAAAATGAAAAAGTGGCTCTATAGCACCCTGTGGGGTTTTGTTTTCCGCACACTATGAAAATTTCATTCAAAAATATCAAAAAATAAAGCGTCAATTTCGGAGCGCGCAAACCTCTACAAATCGTATTTTGGACGAATTTTGTCTTGTGTTTCGTGCTGCCAACCCAAGCGTTCCGGCGCAATGTACGCAATCTTCAGATAATTTGGTGGCCCTATTTCATATAATATCGCGTAGATAAGTCGTTCTGCAAATAAATACTCATAATAGCGATCGCTGATACTTCTCGATTTTAAAGCCGTTTTACTTCCCACGCGAGTGGCGAGAAAGTATTGTAATCGCGAAAAAATTCTAAAGTGCGATGTTATGTTTTTTTTAAGTCATATAACATCTACATCACGAAAAACTGTATCATTCATCATCAACTTGGGAATTACCGCTCGGACTTTTATGAAATTTTCACATGGGGTTACTAGTATGTCAAAGCTTTGTAGTTTTAATCCAATGGCAAGGGTGCTATAGGTAAAAAAGAAAAAGTAACAATCATTGATATAAAAGAATGTACTGCTTAAAAAGTGGGGGTTGGGGGAAGGTGATTCTAAATGTTGCATCTTTGATATCAGTGAAAAACGTTCTATTATTAAGAAGCTTCTGGTCCCAGTGATTACAGGAAATTTAAGTAAAAAAAATCCGACGAATAATGTGCTCACGATTTGAAAAAATCGGTACCTGCTCCATAGGTTTGACACCAAGAGCCAACAGATCTATCTGCAACTGCCGACAGTAGGGAAGAATGAATTCGGATAACATTCCAGTCAAGTATAGGGGAATTTAGCGTGGAACTTTAAAATTATCGATATGTCAAGGAAATATGTTTTTGAGAACGATAATAGATTTTATACCTGCATTTTCATTTGAATTTCATGACCCGTGAAATGTACCCATGACGCCGTTACCTTCAATTTGTGTTCTGCAGTTTGTGATGTTTTTCTGGATATGAGCAGGATATAATTGATTAGGGTGCTATCAGAGCTTTTTACAAAATTTTGTCTTTGCGCAAGAATTATGGTGGGTTGAAATGTTCACTATTTGTGATCAACTTCATGATATTTTAAAAAGATCCTACTGTATAAAATCGAAAAAGTGGATCGCTGGCACCCTGTGGACTTTGTTTTCAGCACGCTGCAAGAGTTTCATTTGGAAATAATAAAAAGTAAGCTGTGAAGTGCAAATCGGTTTTTGGGCGAGATTCATCTACTGTTTCGTCCTGCCAGTCCAAGCGACGCGACTAAGAAAAAATGTATTCAAATAATTTTATATCTTTCCTAAAATAAATTCAAGAATTCAAATTCTAATTCGTTTATTCATGTCAATAAACACAATTATGTTTACAAGGGTCGCATGGTAGATGGTAACAATTGAACGAGGGTCATAAAAATATCTTATGGGGTCAAAATAAGAGGAAACAGTTAGGTAGTTTTTGCAAAGCAATAAACAGGTAGGCTTTACCTGGATTAAGTACATGTCTTGTCTACTGTCATCAGAGCTTTTTACATAATTTTGTTTTTGTTCAAGAATTATTGTGGGTTGAAATGCTTACTATTTGTGCTCAATTTCTTGATATTTTAAAAAGATCCTAATGGATGAAATCCAAAAAGTGGATCGTTAGCACCATATGGACTTTGTTTTCAGCACACTGCAAGAGTTTCATCTGGAAATAATCAAAAATGAAACGTAAGCTGTGAAGTGCAAATCGGTTTTTGGGCGAAATTCGTTTACTGCTTCGTCCTGCCAGTCCAAGCAACGCGACGGTGCGTTCCGACTAAGAAAAAATGTATTCAAATAATTTGGTATCTTTAGTAAAATAAATGTAGAACTCAAATTCAAATTCGTTTATTCATGACAATAAACACAATTATGTTTACAAGGGTCATGTGGTACATGGTAACAATTGCACGGGGGTCATAAAAATATCTTATGCCGTCAAAATAAGAGGAAACAGTTAGGTAGTTTTTGCAAAGCAATAAACAGGTAGGCTTATACCTGGATTAAGTACATTTCTTGTCTACTGTAATAGGTAGATGGAGGCGATGTTGCCAAAAATGGATTTGTGCGATCAATAAACAAACCACAAGACTGAACTGCCGTGTCCAATGATTTTTGTATTGCTTTTTTTATTACCTTACTAAAAACTCTGTTTGGTATATTATGGAGTTTACTAGAACTTTACAGTTTGTTGTCTGCTTTCTTCTACAAACTTCACCAAATCGAGACGCTGTCAACCTTATCCTCCGATGAAGGCGCCACATAGTACAAACCTGTGATTTGGTAACTTGTTCGATCTGCAAAACTCGTCGCCACTTTTTTTAAGTTTCCCTAAAAATTCTTGCTTAGCAACCTCCAAATCAATGTCGTTCATGTCAGGTACATATTTGATAGAATTCGCTATAAAACTATTCATTTTCTTTCCGAATTGTTAGCTATTTTTATATCAGCTTTTTTTAGCCTGAGTTTCTTTTCAAGATTCTTGCGTTTGAGTCTTTGTTCCATCTTAGCGATAAGCGAGGTTGGACTAGGCTTAGAACGTAAATGTATTTGGACCACATAGACAGGCCGCGGGGTATTGTGGCTCACTACAGCTGCAGCACATCTTCCATCGTATGACCTCTTCTTGATAATTTATTCGCTGACTCCCCAATGTATTTTGCGATGATAGAGTTGGACTGCTCCACACTATTGTTGACCTCATAATGAATTAAACTCACTGCATTCATAATTAAAATGGTCGCATATGACCTTTTATTGTCCATTATCAACCTTGATAAAAAAAGGCACTCAAGAACAATCACACCAACAAGAGTACAGCACAACAATTCAACAACACAATATCGACGAAAAGTAACAAGGGTAGAAAAATACTAAATGATCACTTACTGAGTACCAAAATAGGAAACGATTTACAGGCTAGATCGCTAAACGAAATCCGACTCTGTTATTATAAAACTTCACCTTGGTATGCATCCGCAGTCATCTTTTCCTCTTTTAAAGTAGTGCCGACGACCGTCTAGGGCCAGCCCACCCTCGTTTTCTCTTCACCCCCCCCCTGTTAACTGTTTCTATGTACCACCTATTTTGTCTAACCTATAATTTGTGTTGCTCCGTCTATGATAATACTCTTAATATTTCGTCAAGTGGATTAACTCAGTATTTATGGCACACTCATACACAACAAAAACGGACTGTCAAACCGAAATAAATGAGAAACATGGACTTGGGTGACGCACATATCTCTAAGCAACAGAAAACTTGTTAACCGAAGCTCGAATATTATCGCGAGTCTAATACTTCCATCGTTTAGGTAGTCATAGATTTTGAAAATTGATTCAGAGGCCGCGGAAATGAAATCGCTGGAACATAGTGTTCCAGAGATTGCTGCTCATTTTCAGACATTGTTTGGAGAGGATAAAACTTGTAGGTTGGAAGCTCAATACGGTAAATGGTTGTAAATTTTGCATATTTGGTGTCAGTGAAACACCTTCTATTATTAGGTAGCTGCTAATATCAGTGATACTATGCAGCTGTTACACATAATAAGTAATATTTCTCTACATCTGCCATGGAAACAGAAATATGATAGATTTGCTTTATGTTTGATATCCAGAGGTTGAAGATTAACCGTGCTTAAGTGAACCTACCTAATCACAATTCGATTTCGCCTTTTGAAACCTTTTGACCCATCCTTTTTCTTTGAAACCTATAACGAAGGCGTGGGAAGTCTAGAGTCAATCTACTTGACGTCATTTTTTAAGCGAAATTGTGCATCGAGTTAAAAAACAGCAATTAGATTTGCTAAGAAATGATTGGATATATGGAATAATTTTTAAAAAGTTGTTTGTAGTACATTTTAAAATCCCTCTAGTTATATAGTAAATATATAGTATATATGCCAAATTTCATTTAAATATCGAAAGTGATGTTTACGGATAATAATAAATGATTTATTTTTGAAAACTTCACCATCCACCCATGGTACGGAACAGGACTGAAAACCAGCATTATCGATATACCAAGAGTAAATAAAACAATCGGTCAGCGGTGCTATACAAACACCAAGGTCTTATGAATACGGACCTGACGAGATTAAAATTAACTCCATAAATATGTACCTACATATAATCCAGAAATGAGTTCTTATTAAACATTTGAATCAGAACTAATTGATCTGAAAAATGCCTAAACAGCTTCTATTATTTTAATTTGTTCAAGGCTTACACAGTTTGAATTATTTTATTCAAAATGTTAAAATTTACATTTACGGTTGTTTATAAGTTTTACTTAACTTGTCTAATTTGAATTTATCGAATTATATTATATTTAAGTTTTTGCACATTCCCATTATATGTTTGTATGTATTTGTTCGGTATCAAGTGTCTAGTTTATACTACATCCACGCACAAGCATCAGTGGATGTTTTATGTTTATTATATTTTAGGCGTTTATAGGATTTATTTGTAGTTAAGTAATCAATAAACAATATTACTACTATTACCTTGTATCTCAAAAATTAGTCATTTTCACTATAAGAATATCATACTAGAAATAAAAATAAACAAATAACGTCAAAAAAAAGGAAATAGTTGGGAAAGCATTTATATGTATACTTAGGTCCAAAATTGTACCATAACTTAGCAAGAAATATAAGAAAAAACCGAATATCATTTTAAAAAAAGATCTGTACGAGCGGATATTGGATACACACCTATATAGGTAAAAAAGTTAAACATGCTGTAATTCAAATTCAAAATACATTTATTTGCCAAAAAACAAAAAAAAAACATTATTTTTACCGTATTATAGAAAATACACACACTTAATAATATTTTTGGCAAAAGGGATAAATTCTCGATCAAACGACCGTTAACACCCAGCCTTACATAAATAGGGTGGGTGTGAAAATGCCCTGTGTTACACTAATTTACACATACATTATAATATATAAACAATATTTAGGAATTTAATGATTTCATTTATTACGAGCATGAACCATTGATATTGCAGAATAGAAAAAAAATGTATTTACACACTTGAAAAGTCAACGTTCCGACGGGTGGGGAGCACCGGAGAGGGGGCGAACAGCGGCAGGAAGCAACAGACGCGAAGCCACACCGACTAACCCTCATACAGTTAACCACACCGAAATACATCTACACACATACAACATCTATCATCACATGCTCGCTTCTCCATCTTACTAAAAAGATAAATTTGAAAAAATGAACTTATTATTATTGTATTATTGATCCTGAAGAAGCAGGGCCATTATAGTTTGAGAACACTCTTTGTGACATTACCTTTACATAATTATTTAAACTGTTCCACATTTGAACTGCAAGAAATGAAAAAGAACGTTGAAATGCTGCAGACCTATGTCGAGGAGTAATACAAAAATTCTGGTTATGTCTTGTCCCCTAATAATGATTAAAAGTTAAAAGTTCATTTTTCAAATATGGAGGTTTTCCTGATTTTTTTATTCTATAGAGGAAATTAGATATAAATGATGTTTCCTGCGATTTAGCGTATTCAGTATAGACAAATTGTATAGGTAAAGTGTTATGTGGTTACGATAAGGTATGTTTAATAAATGTGTAATTTTTGTATCGCATTTTTAGTAGTATACGCCAACGAGCTCCCATAAACTATATCTCCATAGTCAAAAAGCGACAGTATGAGATTCTGACAAAGGAAATACTTTTGCTTAGGCAGGAAACATTTTTTTAGTTTTGAAATATTAATTGGACCTGTGCCTCTTTCTCAACATTCCCCCGACCTTTAAGGTAGCAGGCTCTTCAAGAGATAAGGTTTAACGGGATTAACTATAGACCTATGGACTTTGAATATCTGACAGAACGAATACTTGTGTAAAAAAAAGTTATAGCTTTAATAACAATTGAATTAACATAGGTGGTGGTGCCGGATCAGATTCGGAATCGACAGAGAAGACCAGGTTGAGCATGTTATTCAACGTACAAGACCCTACAAAATCAATCGTGGACTGTGTTCCGATTAACATGTATGACCCACACCAGGTTTGCATTAGAACCGACGGAGGAGAAGAACTGTTGCTCACTTTGACGGTAGCGCCGAAGAATCCAACATCGCCACCGCCTCCGGGTCCACTGCCAAGGAACAGAGACACTCAAATTAGGTAATAGAGCAGTTCCGTATTTCTGTCATCTAGGCCCTCTACAAGTCGGAGAATTAACGCCTTACTAGTGTACGTTGCTTTTCTCTGTCATGTCCAACTTGGTGCTCCGTGAATAAACGCGAAGTATTCCTCTATCTATGTGAAACTGGATTCGATGTAGCATAGGGTGAATATGCCAGTAACTCGGACACTACCAGTGGTGGGACAAATGTTATATTATTGGTAAAAACTTGAATATTTGAAATCATATACTTGCTGGTAATTGGTACCAGATTTATCAACCAATTTGTGTCAGTTTACAAAATTTCATATCCACAGGTGTCATATTACCAACAGTATTAGAGCGCCAAAAACAGCATCCTTCGATTCCTCAATTTTTGTAGTGTAGTTGTAACGGTTTCACCGTCCGATTGTATTTATTAAATCACTTCTCGATTATCATTTCAGAATCGCTCATTAATCCCATCTCTAGCTTTTTTACTTGGAAAATTTTCCGCTTGGAGCGCGCTTGATGCGGAGTTCCTGATCTGTGATCTTCCTCGCGCTTCCTTTTCACTTGAGCCGCCGATCTAACAAGAGCTAAGAATTTTCTTCTCTGTAGCATGAGGTCATATAGCACCATGTGCTAGAATTTTGTAGAATGTGTGTCCGAATAGGACAAAATGATTGGGGCCACCCCCTCTCCCTTTCCCTTTGCCTTTGTCTTTGACTTTGCATTGCTTGGCCTATCACTTCACCCATGCATGTGCCTTGGCAGCGCTATCACCTTTAAGTTCAACTTCGCCTACAACTGGTTTTGAAGCCACTAAATGTGAGGTCACCCCTCATAACTGGGACCTCCACTTCAAGCACCTGGCCATCCTCGCTTCAGTCCAGTCAAAAATGGACCAGCGAAAGATAAGTTTATAGTTTTATAACAGCGCCAAAGATTTAAAACTTATTTTGTTCTTTAAAATTTCAATTTCAAATGTAATGAAAATGCTTTTTTGTTAAATAAAATCTGTTAAATTTTTGTGTTCTGTTTGTTCTTCTATCCTCTAGCCATGCCATGGTCGACACACAGCTACACGCCTGTAGATGTCTTCATGCCACCGACTGAGCTACCGGAAGCAAATGGTAACCCCCTTTCTGTGATTGTGCAGAAAAGTTGGAATCTTCATTGCATTCCATCTTTTCTGGACTTTTTGCGGAAAGGAAGCGTTACATAGTCAGTGATATCAACTTTAAAGGCAAGTGAAATCATATGCTCGCAATACGAGGGCTGTCTTTTAAGTTTTGCTTATAGAAACATAGTAGGCCGCGCGGATCGAACGTCAGTACTGAATCTTAACCTCACTCTTTAGTAAACCTAAATTCAAAGTTTCACAACAATTCGTGCAGTGTTCTCACTACAGTCCATTTTTAAGTGTCACCAAGTCATTAGAAAAATGGAACTCAACCGAGAACATTTTCGCGCCATAATTTATTACAACTTTCAGAGACAATTATCGCAACAAGAATGCCTTGCTGAGTTACTGTCTGTTTTCGGCAACGAAGCGCCACATCAGTCGACAATTTCACGTTGGTATGGAGAATTCAAACGTGAACGGGTGAGTCAGCGACGATCCCAGGGTGGGTGCACCAAAAACGGCACTCAGGAAAACTTCGATGCTGTGCGCAAACTCATCATTGAAGATAGACATGTGACATATCGCGAGATTGAGTCGTCCTTGAAGATCTCAAAGACCTCAATTCAAAAAATTTTACATGAAGAATTAGGAGTAAAAAAATTAGTTTCTCGTTGGACACCCCACCTGTTGACTGAAGAGCAGAAAGCAGCCAGAGTTAATTGGTGTCAAAAAACGCTGACCGTTTCAATTCTGGAAACTAAAATCTGTACGGCATTTTTTGTGGTGATCAATCGTGGATCTACTGTTATGAACCAGAAAATAAACGACAGTCGGCTGTTTGGGTGTTCCAAGGTGAAGAAAAGCCAACAAAAGTCATCCGTTCTCGAAGTGTTTCGAAAAAGATGGTCGCGAGAACTGTTACTGCGGATTGGTATACCACCATTTGTTTGCCAAAAGTCATCACCGAGCTTCGAAAAATCAACCCCGAAAGAAGAATCATCCTCCAGCAAGACAATGCAAGCTCGCACACAGCCCAAAAAACAAGGCAGTATTTAATGGAAGAAAACGTGGAATTATTGAACCATCCTCCATATAGTCCCGATCTAAGTCCTAACGATTTCTTTACTTTCCCGAAAATTAAAAACAGACTGTGTGGTCAAAGGCTCCAGTCACCAGAAGAAGCAGTTGACGCATTCAAAAATGCCGTTTTGGATCTGCCAGCAAACGAGTGGAATGAGTGCTTCGAAAATTGGTTCGAGCGCATGCAAATGTGTATTAATCTTCGTGGAGAATACTTCGAAAAACAATAAAGTCATTTAAAACTACCTACAGTGTTGTTTTATTTCCATATGCAAAACTTAAAAGACATCCCTCGTATATCGTTTTTCCAAGAGGGACTTGACAACGTTGAACTTTCACTGTGAGCGCACCTTTAAATCAACTACCGAACTGTCAAAGTCAAAACTTTCAATAAAGAAAACATTTTCATCATAGTGAAGTACACGAACGAAAAATGCTTAAAAATAATTAAAATTTACTACTGAAATTCCGAGTCCGTGACTGCAACTTTAAGAGCGTTAGCGCCAACTTTTGGTCGTAATTCTCGTCTCAGTAGACAAGCAATTCATAGTCTATTAAAAAAAATTGAGTCCACATATTCGCTGCTGGAGGTTCCCGTGTCATGAGACAACGGGTTGGTCGAAGTGCCGAGAATATTGCTGCCGTTCATGCTGTCGAACAGAACATGTCGATTCCACGGCGTTCTCAAGAATTGGGCATCGCTAAAACCACACTATGGCGAATTCTGTGAAAAGATCCTGGCCTGCACCCTTATCGAGTTAACGCAAGAACTAAAGCCTTTCGATCATATGAACAGACATGCGTTCTCGAATTGGGCTTTAGAAATGTTGCAAGAAAATTACCACTTTCATCGCAAAATCACCTTCAGTGATAAAGCGCATTTTTTGTTAAACGTCGTCAACAAACAGAATATGCGTTATTGGTCAGGTGAAAACCCTCATTGTCCTTCAAGAAACACCACTTCATACACAAAAAATAACTGTATGGTGTGGTTGTGTCATTGGGCCGTTTTTTTTTCGTTGATGAAATGACCGTCACGTTACAGTCAACGGAGATCGCTACAGAGACATGTTGCAACGTTATTTTTTTGGGCAATTGGATGGGCTAGACATTAATGATATATGGTTTCAACGAGACGGAGCTACAATCCACACAGCGGGTGAAACAATCGACACATTGAAATCAAAATTCGGTGAACGTGTTATATCAAGAAATGGTCCTGTCGAATGGCCGCCTAGATCGTGTGATTTAACACCTCTAGACTTTTTTTAGTGGGCTACATTAAATCATTGAAAATAACTACCTCGAACGTCACAGCTTGATTAGCAACAGGCAGTATGGTTTCCGGCACCAACGATCCACAGGAGACCTCCTGGCTTACGTCACTCAATTGTGGAGTAAACTCATCCAGTCTTATGGTGAGGCTCATGTCGTTGCTCTTGACATCACGAAAGCGTTCGATCAGCTGTGGCACGCTGCCCTCTTAAGCAAACTTCCATCCTATGGCCTCCCAGAAAAGCTCTGCAGATGAGTGACTGACTTTATCTCTGGCCGCAAGATATCCGTCCTAATTGACGGGTTCTCCTCTTCATCCCACAACGTCAACGCGGGTGTTCCCCAGGGATCGGTCTTGGCTCCGACACTGTTTCTCTTGCATATCAACGACCTCCTTTCCTGCACGATCAACCCAATCCACAGCTTCGCTGATGACAGCACTCTACATGCAGGAATTCAGAGTGACAAGCCGATCTCTGCCGCGGAGTTGGACCAGCTATGACTTCCTCTCTGACAAGAGACCTGGAGGCTATCACTGCTTGGGGACGCAACAATCTTGTACAGTTCAATGCTTCCAAAACACAGTACTTTGACGAACCAAAACCGTCCCTGCGCTCACCCGGTTTCGATGGATGGCCGAGTTCTGCCAAAGAGCCATTCTTTTCGGCTGGTCGGAGTCCAGATCACAGAGGACCTAATCTGGCACGAACACATCTCGTCAATAACTGTAGCCGTTGAGAAAAAGCTAGGCTATTTGTTCAGGGCTAAGAAGTACTTTTCTCCACATAACCTTCTCACTCTATACAAGGCCCAGATAAGGCCTAGCCTGGAGTATTGCTGCCGCTCCGACTACATTATCCATGCTAGATGCTGTCCAGAGGAGGGCGGTCCGGCTGATCTATGACTCTTCTCTAACAGACAGTCTCGGAACCCTTTCGCACCGGCGGGCTGTCGGCGATCTAGCTCTTTTCTACCGTTAAACCAACTGGCCTTGCTCCTTAGAGCTCTCTTCGATGATGCCGCCGCGCGATGTGCCTGCCAGACAGACCCGCCTGACTTTGACATCCCATCCTAACCGTGTCGAACTTCGTACATCCAGAACTGGCCGATACGACCGCTCCTTTGTCCCGAGGGTGTCGAGATTGTGGAACAATCTATGAGAGGAAGCTTTTCCTAGTACTATTAACCTTAGGCAGTTCAAAAATGGTATTAACAAAATTTCTTTGGGATCATCATAGCAGCCGCTGTGTTCCGGCATTTAGGCTTCTGCCTGCGCGGCTGCTTCGTGAATGTTCGCAAACATTTTGTGTGATACTATATTGACGGTACCTTCGGAGTTTCATGATACCTATCGAGAACTAAATGTGCGCGAAAAGGCAGATATTTGAATCGTAAGAGAAAGGCGAATTCAGGGGCCTGATTCTGAATGAGTTTCGACCGTTGAAATTGATTTCGACGGCGAATTTTGGCGATATACTTGATTCGCTATGATAAGTTTGACACTTCCATGATAATTAGAAAATACAAGATCAATATTATCACATGCCAAAATCACCGTTGCGATTCAAGTATATCGTCACAAGGCGCTATCGAAATTGATTTCAACGGTCGAAACTCATTTAGAATCAGGCCCCTGGCCTTTCATTTTACAAAATAATGTTTCTTGCATTTTTGGGAATGACCACGACCTTTTCATTGTTACAGGTCCGATGCCAGTTCTCAAAAATACAACGTTTAGCATACGATAGTACACACGGATTGTACAAAGAATACGAACACGAGTAAATCTCCATGTTAGTTATACATCGGCGGAAAGCAGAAATAAAGTTCGTATAGGCTTTTTATTGTGATATATTAATATTTTACTAACACTAAAACGCTGAAAAAAGTGACGTTTTTTTGGAATTTGAAGCAAATCTTGAACTAACAGAATTCAGTTTTCATGTATTTTCAAAGTCGGATCACGGTCGCTATTAGAGTCACAATCTCTTTAAACAACTTACTTTAATAGGGCTGATTTCTTTGTTGATGTTTTTCCTCACCACATTTTGATCCCTTTGAAATTCACATTCTATACGACCTTTGCGCAAATTAAAAGACTTTTACATGCATCTACGCTAGTTTCATGAGTGTTATTGAATGGGAATATCTAATCACCAGAAAATAAATTTCCTTAAGATATTTGTCCAAATGATGGCAAACTCTCTAACTACCTCCATTTCATTGTTACAGATCCGACATCGGTTCTCAAAAAAACAACGTTTTCTATTCGATGGTAAAAACGGACTGTAGATGCGAGCCGCACCTACGTACGGACTGTAGATGCGAACCAATGTGACCACTAAGCCATGCCTCACCGATGTACCTCTTTTAAGGCAGAACAACGGCCCCACGCTAGAGGCAACACCGAAAGAATCGCCAGAAACTCCAGGAGAAGCAGCTCCAACTTTTGAAGAAGTGGCCGGTGACCAGCCATTCAGTGTGGGGGATATCTTCAGTGAGGCATCGGTGAAGAATGCTCCCTCGGAAGCAGAAGCTATTTCTAACGATGAGCTACTTATTCCGCTCTACAGGACCAAGGTCTGCTCCTCATTGCAATTGGACGTGGAGAGATTACCATCTCGAATGCGTCACGAGGTTAGTAGAAACGTTCTCATTTATGATCCACTTAAGTCAAATAGCATGTAGCTTTGAACTTTGCAACAATCTAATAAATTATCATTCAGGGTGTCCCATTTTAATTTCCCCACCTAAGTATTTCGAAACAAAATATCTAGGGTTTGGAAAATGCTTAAGGATGGTGACCTTGACTACAACCCTCGGGTGATTTTAAGGTCAACCAAATAATTCCAATTTTTTTTACGTCAGAATTAAAAATAGTAACGTCCGGTATTGACCTTGATCGTGACCTTGACTATGGCCTTCAAAGACATTCCAAGGTAAAATCAAAAAGCAAAAATGTTCGACGCCACAGTTGTGTGGTTCCAGAGGCGACCTTGACTATGATCTTCAAGGTCAAGTCAAAATTTCTGGAAAAAAATTCTTCAATTTCATACTGGAACTGAAAAAAGTATCTCACCCAATTTAATCTAGACAACATATAATATATTTAAGCTTGACATTCTGAAGTCAAAGTCATATTCGGACGTAAAATTTCCGGGAGGTCATGGTCATAGTCAGGTCACCTTTGGATGTAGCCCGCAAAACTCACAACTATGCTATCGAACATTTTTTCTACAGCAAATTATATGTATTTACCATGTAACTCCTGTGGTTCCCATGTTCATAAATCACATATATCTATGTTTAAATTTCTGTTTATTGAACGACGTTTCGACCATCATAGTGGCCTTGTTCAAGCAGAATTAACAATTGTACAGATACCTAAAAATGTATATTTCGTTTGATTCGGCCAGATAATGGAGTCCTATGTTTCTAATGTCTTAATTTGACATTGAAATTGATTTGAAGGTCGCAATTAAGGTCATTGCCAAGGTCAATTCCAAACATAGTTTTTCCTCCTCTTTTCAATTCCAATGTAAAAAGGGGGTTTAAAATATTTACTTTACCTTGACATGATCTTTAAAGGACATGGTCAAGCTGATTATAAGATAGGTAGATATAGTTGAAATCACTGTTCTTGGCGGGTCAAAGTATCCCTTTATACATCTCCATCTTCCTCATACATACACATGCAACCCACCCCTTTGGTCGGTAAGCTCAAAGACATACATTTTTTAGTTGTGTGTCTCCATCTCGAAAACTTTGTCGTTACGTATGAGTGCCCTTCAATCATATTTGTCAGAGTGTCAACTTACTTGGCATCGGCGTACAATTTGAGTTGTCCTGGTATCAATCTTCAATATAAAATTGTACAATGTCCGGAAATATGGTCAATGGAGAAGGCTGACAGCTCGTGCTAAATTTATTAGAGTATTTCCACTTCATGCGTACTGGAAAGAGTAGCAGATGCGCTGAAGCTTAAGATCCGCCCATGGTACGGAGACCCGATCTGTTTACTTATTTCATATGGCTTTGATGACCTAACCGCCAAGACCGGTGTCTACAACTATATAAGAATGTTTATTTTTATTTCAAGGGAATTGTTCATGAAGACAAATCTATTTCAATGCACTTCAACAAACTGGGCGTAGATAAGATCCTCAGAGCTTCTAGACCTGTGAAATGCGCACGAAAGGCAGTCCTAAACGAGACATCGAAAAAAAGCATTCCCTATTCCCCAAGCCTGAAGTCGTTACCCTTGGTAGAGGCAGATTTAGACATTATCAACCAGTCTTTGGAGATGAGCGTTACCAAGAGTCGTTCTTCAACTGTCTATATAAGAAAGCCAGCCATTTCTAAGATCGATCGTTATAGTAATGTCAGGTGAGTAAATTTTATTGGTTTTTAGTTATAAACTATTCGCTAGAAAATCCTTTACTTAGGTTGAATAAGATCTGTTTGCTTCTCTTGACCACAACCAACCGCATACAACGTTGTTTTATTCTTTATGACAATCAGTACGGTCTAAGTATAGCCAACGGGAAGAAAATAAGCGAAAATGGGTCTATTGTCGTCCTTTTTGCTTTATTGTTCTTGATCATCCTGTACAGCTTGTGCGAAAAGGTGACACTGCCACCTATGGGTAGTTCGCGGTAGCACCGCACGGGTATTAAGTATCTTGAAAAGTGACATTATGTCTATTTTTTTGACATTGTATTTGTTTTTTGTCACATTATGTAGGTTTTTCTACAAGATGTTAACTTAACACTAGCTGATGGACGTTGTAAACTCCTTTTGTAGTTGTACGTGTTGCCTAAACGTCAGGAGGCTTCAGTTATCAAAGTTTGGCTCTGATGTGATGTAGAATCAGCTTCAGATATGGCATTACTGGAGGTCTAAGCTGTAAGTTGTATACTATAGTTAGAAGGAAACGGCAATGCATAGGTATGTGCATAGTGAGGATGTGTGTACTAATAATGTGTTGATGATAATTCCATTGGATTCTTGTCTCAAATACACTTACTTGAGATTCAAAGCTAGAAATTAGTTGCGCATCCACTTTTCCTTATCTATTCTGGAAATTACATATGCAAATTTGCTGAATTTCAAAAATTAGAAAGATAAGAAATAATTATATTCTCTGTACACTGTCGGATTACAAGTCATATACAAGCTAACAGTACACGCAGGCGCGGTGGTGATTTCCGGTGATTCTCCTCAAAGTTTTTGAACACACAAAAAAATGTAAAAAATCGTAATTTATTACATTGAACATAAGAAAGGACAACATATAAATAACCAGTCGGGCACAGCTAATGGATACTTATACTTCATTGGCAGCATATTCAGTAATGATTTTCTCACACAGCTAAATATCACTGATTTTATAGACATGCACCAACTTTCTTCTCAGAGATGGAAACTACTTACTTACTCGACTTCACAAAACATATGCAACCAACAATGCGTGTAGTTGAGCCATTCCTCCATAGATGGACGCTCACGACGATCCTAGTGAGCAAACATGGAATGACTGTTTGCACCGTGAATACTACCTAGTCTGCAAGAAGACCTTTTTGTAGGATTTTTTGACATTTTATAGGTTTTTTACATAATACCCGTTCCGACCCAAACATCGACAGCAGGAAACTATAATTACAATTACTAAGTACTCACCGTGGTAACAGCCTTCACGTGGCATGAAAAAATTGCGTAAACTGAAACCAAATACCGAAATTGAAATGGAAACAATTCCAATCGGAATCGTAAATAACCGGAATCGCTTCTTTCAAATGATCGGAATCGATTCCTCTAATATGGAATATGCATGTTTTTGTGTCTGTCGATTATTTAGGTTAATATGATAGCATACACATCATCACGCACAATTTGTCATTTGATTGTATTTGAATAGAGTGCCTGAGACGGAGGGTTAGGTTTTTCACGCGTATCTCTGTATCCAAAAAATCTTATTTTACAGGCTACAGGTCAAACCGCTTGATTGGTCTTGAGATATGAGTTGTCAAAGTGTACTCTTTCCCCTTGCCGTTTAAAGCTGATTCTGTAACACTATGAACCATTTTTGATTGCACTCAGGAAGGTTGTATCTCAAAAATCAAGTCTGTTTGAGGTTCAAAGTACACGAGAAAGTTGTAAAAGAAATCTGATAAATAACTGTGTTTTCTCTAAATGATCAAATATCAAACAGACAAACAGTGACGAGACAGAATAAACGTCTAGCATTTCAAATCGTAGTGACCAATCGACAAAGAGTTGGCTGGTCACAAGTCGCAATGGTTGCGTCACGTCAATAACATTGAGTATCGATATTTTAAACTTACCGCGTATTTTTCCCTTTTTATAGATATTCGTAATTTTATAGTGCATATTAAGTATAAAATGAGGTCGAAGTTGGCTTTCTGTAACAATATAGACATGAATGTCTACTATGCGCTCTGTGGTATCGTTCCTTTGAACTGACTCCTTCAGAACCAACCCAGATCTAGCTGTTTCTTCAATAGTTTGCCTGTTATAGATTCAAATTTTATTTTCGTGTTTGTAGGTGCCAAATCAACCACGCTTTGCTGATGAGCGATATGAGCACACCATGTCAGACAAAATCATCATATCTGTTTTGTATATAAAGAGACCATCTATAACCAGAACTAGACAATATTGTAGCGTTTTTCTGGGTTCTTTTGGGTGTGGATTAAAACACGATTCCATAAAAAGAAATGCACTAATTTATTTATCTTGACTACATAGAAAATGTATGTCCACCACTATTTATGTCTGACTAATTACTATGTCGCACCATTGACTGGACTATACTCTACTCTGATACTCTACCGTACTCTGTAGTCTGGTTCCATCTCCCGGCCGTCGAGTTATATATAGTCCCCATCGCCGCTTCGAGAAAGGCCTGGCTAGCCACATCCAGAATATTCGAGGTCACTTCGCGTCGACCTAGAAGGCGAGTCACTGCCACGGTTCTCACAGACGCCGCCAAGCAGCTTGTGCGGTCTTGGTCCGCGTAAAAGCAGAGATCGGTCATGAAGCTCTGGCGAGTAGGAGACTCTCCCAACAGATGGTGCCAACAGTACTATTTGTTATCGTCACAATATCATATCAAGTGAGTTACAAAGTTATAATTTCAGTCTTATTAAGAGATCAATGAATAAAAGTCTAGAAACATAACAGTGATAGAGGAGGTGCAAATATCACTCTCAATGAATAAACGTGCTCGCCCATAGAGAGGAGAGAAAGAAAGAGAAGAGAAGCGTAGGGGACAGACGCGAAACTCGTCCGCTTGGTCCCTTTACTTGAAATCTGCGAGAACTCCCGCAATAAAGCGAAGTGTCAAATTTGATGTAATGTTCGGCCAGTTTCAGTTCAAAATCCGAGGTTTTGTCAGAAAATCCGAAACCGACACTATGTTCATAAATTTTCTGGCGACTTCCATAGCGTTGCGGGATTCCTTTTTATGAACAGTTTAACGACAGAGTTAATAAATAATAATAATATAATAATAACATGGATTTATTCGACTCATTTACAAATACGTTTTTATTTTGAGTAAGGTGAAGTATTAAAATTTGAAAGTAAAGAATCGATATGGCCGAATGTTACCTTAAGGTATTTTTCAACTCAGCCAAAAATTACATTGACAATCATGAATAAGAATAAACTCGTATAATTGTAAAGTATATGTACATGGGATTTGTGACAATTACCTAATAGTGTTTAAGTCTATACAGGTAAACACGTTTAAATTTCAAGGCATTTAAAATAAAATCATCAAAATACCGTATGATATAACTCGAAAAATCGTATAGTCAGTCATATTCTAGCTGAATTTTTGAAAAATGATTATTATTAGGTAGAGAAGGTAGATAGAAGAAGCATTGCTTTTAACCTTTTCGAAATTCATTAGACTGCAATTGGCATACTCGGTAGGTTGTTGTTATGTTTGGCTGCAGTGTATGAAAAGTTCTTTATGTATACGTATAATGTGAGGTGGTGTGGTATAACGAGAAATTGTCTATTTCTTGATGCTAAGTTCTTAACGACTTTTTGTAGTTGCTTGAGAGGGTACTCTGGTTTTTATTCTATAAGGTCTAATGGACTAAATATATACTGTATGATAGATTCTAAGATTTTCTAGACTCAATTTTTCGTTTTCCTTAAAAACATGAGCTAAATGGTCATGTTTTCTAATACCAAGACAGTAACGGAAACATGTCTTTGAGGATATAATTATTTGAGGATACTATAAGATTTTGAACATAGCTATCCCTTTATATGATGGTCAAATTTTAATTCATTATCCATTCATAAACCCAAATTTGTGCTTACAGTTACAATTGGCAAAGGAACGTTTTAATGTTAAGCTGATATAGATTTTCACTTTCTACTCTAATCCGTTGCTCCTTTGGTCCAAAAATCAGACTTGATTTAGAAGCATTCAGTGTTAAATTATGAGCAGCCGAAATGTGATATGATATTTAGATCATTGTTGATCAAATTAACGAAACAAGATGAATTATTGATATGAAAACCATAATATAATTGTGTGTCGTCTGCGTAGTGATAAACGTTGCAGAACTTCATATTGTTAGGAAAGTCTGAAATATACAGAGAATAACAAATGATTAAGAATGGAACCTTGAGGTAATCCCATTGTTATAGGGAATTTATATGGACATAAATTGATACACATTGATACCTTTCTTTCAGAAAACTTTTTATGAGATGAACAGCAGAAGAGCTGAAACTAAAGTTTCAATTTAGTGCAAAGTATACCTGTTTTTGCTCTACTGTTTGAAAATATAAAACTGTCAATGTCAATTCCCTCAGAAAATCACGGTGAAGCTAGCTACAGTTTTTAGAAGCAAAATGGCGTTCCTTTCAATACATTTTGGTGGCTAAGGGTCCCGTCCGAACCCAGTTCTATATACGCCACTGTCAGAACGGTTATTTTCTCGTTTGTATTTTTTTGTGTACAAATATTGTATTGCTAAGTACACTCGGGAGCAAAATAACTGCAACACTCAAAATTTTCTTTTCTGCCGTGCATTGTCGTGAAGTTTTTCTTATTTTACTGCTATCCTCAAAATACGTTCGGACTTAGGCTATGCGTATAAAAACACATTACGACACAAATTAATTTATAAAATCATCTTTTTACAGACAAGTATATTACTTTCACGTCCACGTCCGCGTCCCCATAGAAGCAAAACAATTCCTGATCAAGAAAAAACTGCAATACTATATATTCTTGAACAGCGACCTAGATCAAGCTAAAGACCCCTTAGCGCAAATTTTCGACATCCATAGCTGCAAAAAGCCAAAAATCGACCAAGCAACGAACAGCGATATTAAGGGTGTGGTATTCTATGACAAAATCGAGAAGAAACGACTCATCAGACTTTTGCCTTCAGTCAGGGAGGATAAGGATGTATTTACCATGAAGGAGAGCAAGATGGAGTGCAAAAGGAAACGGAAAATACTTCCTAGTAGGATACCGATTTATAAGTACAGGAGAAAAGGACAGTGTGCTTCCGAACTCCAATTATCTAAAGGTAAGTACAAATTGACTTTTGTATAAAAAAACTCGCTTGCTAAGTTGAGTACGTGAAATTCGAATCTGTGGTCATTTCATCAATAGGTCCCTCCGAAAATCCAAAGCAACCCATTTTACTACTTTTACTTACAAATTGTGCACCAAAAAAAATTAAAAATCTTATGATTACTAATGCTGCCATGTTTTTCAGCTGCTCCCCTCCCTCATGCCTGCCTAGTCGACATCTCACCTTTAAACATACCCGCGCCCATTTCGTCCAGAAAGCCAGAAGAAAAACTTACAAAAATTAACAAACCTAACAAGAAAGTGCATGGGCAGTCCTCAGTAAAGTGTTCCTTCTCACATTTGATAGCGAACGTTGATAAGAAATTCGCTGTGCGATTCATAGAACCAAGTCATATAGCAGAACCTGGATTGAGTGGAAAGTGAGAATCGGAAATTATCATTCGTGGTATTTCTTTCATGTTTTATAATGCATTTATAGAAAAGTTGTCAGAGCCAGCAAAAACAGAAATTTTAAAAGTTGTTAACTCAAACTGTATTAGTGAAATGAAAAAAGTGTAACGTTTGCAAAGTAAATAATGTATAATAAATGTGTTTCTTTACTCACAACAAAATAATACATGACTGGTAGCGACACCATAGTATAGGTCCAGCTCTAGTTAAAGTATCTGTCACACGAGTGGATTTTACGCGCTCGTGCACCAGAATAACCCGAGCTCTAAAAGCACTCGCTTCAGCCGGAAGCAGCGACAGACAGAGGTCCTCGTCCTGGCCCAGGATCCATTTTTTCGGATGGAGTATACAGGGTGTTCCTTAATGATGCGAATATTTAAGGGTGTGAATCTACATGAAAAATTAATGTTAGTTTGCTTTATAAACTATGGTCCAAAAATGTTTCCTTACAAAAACTCGGGGTGTTGAAGTTTTAGGAAATGGAAATTAATTAATATTTTCAGAACCGCTTGAGATATTTCACTGATATTTAGTACGTAGTGAAAGCTAATAAAGTTGCATATTTTTCAATGCAAAAATAATTTTTAGCTTAAACAGTGGCGTGCGTACGGGTATTGACTTCGATGGTTTTTAAGAAAAAAATGGTACGCCAATGGTTTTCTGCCAAATAAAAATTTTTGAATTCCCCGTTCAATTTAAAACAAACGGTCTTTCTTGATTTATTTTTTCTTTCGTTGTGCCATTTTTGAGTAAAAAAATAAAAACCGTCCTATTGTCTAACTTACAAAATTAGTATTAATTTAATTGGAAAAATTAAACACATTAGGGGTAATGAACAACAACAACTGACAACATAAACATAACATTACAACCAACGAACTGATTACAAAAATTGTTGAAAATGGCCCCCTTCACTTAGTATGCATGCTTCCGCCCCCCTTCTGATGGAATTGCGCACTCGTTGACATATCCCTCGAGTGTTTTTTATTCTATCACAAGCTGCAACTGTTCTTTCTCTTAATTCCTCTACAGTGTTAATGGGACTTGTGTACACTAGTGTCTTAAGATGAAGCCCCACAAAAAGAAATCTAAACTGTTGCGGGCTGGGGACGTTGGTGGCCATTCTTGGGGCCCACCGCGGCCAATCCAACGATTTGGATAAACAGTTTGTAAATAATTACGGACCGCTACACTGAAATGCGCTGGTGCACCATCATGCATGTACCACATATTGTCTCTTATTACTAACGGAACATCATCAAGCAGCAAAGGCAACTGTTGTTGAAGGAAATTGAGGTAAGTCTGTCCGTCAAGTCGTCCCAGCAAGAAGAATGGTCCGATAAAGTAGTTGCCAATAATTCCCGCCCATACGTTAACCGAAAATTGGTGTTAGAAATGGGTTTCGGTTACGGCATAGCGATTTTCTTCTGCCCACAAATGATTATTGTGGAAATTCTGAATGGCATTTCAAGAAAAATTAGCTTCGTGCGTGAACAGAATCATTGATTAAAATTTCGGATTTTGTGTAATTTTTTTCTTCCTTGTACTCGTTTCAGGATGTTCTTCGACATCGTGCAGCACTACTTCCTCAATTTCAGGTGTACTCACACTTAGAGGTCTACCTTCAGATGTTCCTTTTCGGACAGAACCAGTTTCAACAAGACGACGATGAATATTAGAAAAGGTTCGACTATATGGCAAAGCACGATCGGGATATCTCTGGTCTTGCTCACAATTACCGTCGGCAAGGCCATATACGTAATGCATTTACGCCATTTCAGCATTTGAATAATTCACCATTATTAACAAGATTGTAAAAACTAAATAATGAAAAAGATGTCACAGCGAACAGATTTGAATAACAGAGACTTGTCAGATGTCAAAAGCCAGTGACATATTCCAGAGCAACTGGATATTTATTGTTAAATTGTACTCTTCAATTATTACATTAATTTTCTCGGACAATAGAACGGTTTTTATTTTTTTACTCAAAAATTGCACATCGAAAGAAAACAATTCAAGAGAGATCATTTGTTTTAAATTGAACGGGGAATTCAAAAATAATTTTTATTTGGCAAAGAACCATTGGCGTACTATTTTTTTCTTAAAAAATATCGAAGTCAATACCCGTACGCACGCCACTGTTAAAGCTAAAAATTATTTTTGCATTGAAAAATATGCAACTTTATTAACTTTCACTACGTACTAAATATCAGTGAAATGTCTGAAGCGGTTCTGAAAATATTAATTAATTACCATTTTTTTTCCTAATACTTCAACACCCCGAGTTTCTGTAAGGAAACATTTTTGGCCATAGTTTCTAAGGCAAACTAACATTATTTTTTCATATAGATTCACACCCTTAAATATTCGCATATCATTAAGGAACACCCTGTAGCTCTTTAACGGCCACCATTAGCGTTCGTTCAATGACAATGCCCAGAAGCGCTGTTTAGGCAAATAATACCTCCTAACTAAATTTTAATATCCAGAGTTTATTACTTCTCACGCCTACATGCGAGAAAGTATTGTGATCGCGAAATATTTAGAAAATTTGAAAAACCATGTTACTCATTTCCGTCAGTCTGTTTTGATGAAATTTTCACACAAGGTTATTACTACGCCAAGATCGAAAAAGCTTTGTAGTTTTGAAAATTAATCCAGTGGCGGATAAAAAGGCTATTACCGAAAAAAAAATCGCTCTAATTTGTTTTTTTGTGTCGTTCCAAAGGATCTCGATCATTTTTGGAAAAAAAATTAGTGGTAAAAAATTGACGGGGCAGGGGTCGTAGGGTGGTTTGCAAGGGTGATAGCATTTTTTTGTTGTTAGTATATCAATACACCTCCTACCCCGATAATTCACTCACCTGTTTGGTGAGAGAAAGACAGAAAAATGTTTTCGACAAGCTGACAAAAGGGCCGTGACGAGGGTGCCAGTGTTTGTGTGTGTCTTAAATCACTGGCGCTCTGCCGCCTCAGACCTGAGACTCATCACCCTTTCAGATACTGGGAGGTGGCGCGACGTTGCCAGATGAACGATATTACGGGTGGAGCAGTTAAAGAATGTTAAGAACTAATTGTACGGACCTGTTTGGCGGACTTGATCCGTTTAATTTCTCTATTATACATGTCCGTACTAACTTTTGTCTTAGAGGGTCTATCATAAACATGTCGCTTTCGTTCATCTAACCCATTGATTCCCAAAGTGGTCTATATCGACCCCTAGGGGTCTATGACAACCTGCAAGGGGTCTACGTCAGCGAAAGAAAATTTGGGGGTCCATGAAATGAATATGGGGGTCCACGATAGTGGATCTCAACACATACACTGATAGTACCTATTTACTTACATCATACTATCTTATAATATCAAAACATATACATTATTTATAAAAGTACCTATGAAGTAAAAAATTTATTATATATGTTTATAAAATTATGTAAGTTGTAGGATGTTGGTATTCGCTTTGTGGTCGCAATACATTTTAAACTTGTAAAAACCTGAGAGTCGCAGTCTCAGAGTTTCGCTACCTTGCACTGACTTGTTCAATTCGTCACTCTATAAATACGAATGTGGGACAAATACGTTTATTCGTTTCCTGAATCTTGAAAAGGAAAGTGCCAAGAAAATATTTTAAAAAATATAAACAGATAGTATATCACACAAATTATAGTGAGTCAGTGTTATTTTGTTTGAGAGTGCTGGAGAAAAGTAAGTACATTATTTTTTATTAAATTTTAGTTTTGTACTCGTAGTTAGCAAAGATAGATAAATTACGCCAATCATGACTTTAGTTATTAGTAGTTAAATATTCAATCATGCAAAATTACACGAGTACTCCTCAATAGTTTCTTTTTGAAAGTTTTAGCAATCGGTAATATAATTACAGTGCAATCTCCGTAATTCGAGCTAATTGTTGCAAGAAGATGTTCGAATTATGGAATGTTTTCGGAAAAATCAAAAAATATTTTTAATATACAGCTGCAGGATTTTCTGAGTTATTTAAATAATTTATTTTGCCCACAAAAGAAATGTAGACAGTACAGTGTGGATTATTTGAAATTTGGCTTCATTCCATCATTGCCGGACAAACAATCGCCTATTATCGCCTTTTATGCAACAAAGTTTTGGGCAATGACGCTATGAAACCATCTAAACTGCAAGATCATCTGAGAAGGTGCCACCCTGATAAAACAGAGAAAGATTTGAAATACTTTCAAACACTCAAAGATAAATTTCAGAAGAGACCTAGACTGGACAGAATGTTAAGCAACAATAGTGTTGAAAGACGTATTGATGAAATGAGTTCTGATATTGAAAGCTTCTTATGTAATTAGTTGCAAACGACCCATTTCCCTATACAACTGGACGAGTCAACTTTACCTGATAATGCGGCATTATTATTGGCATATGTTCATTTTATTATGAATCAAGAAATCTACGAAGAACTGCTCTTCGCAAGAACTTTGATAACCGACACTAAAGGTGAATCAATATTTCATGTTTTGAAGGATTACTTCATTGAAAAAGCAATTCCTTTATCAAATATAATATCAGTAGCTACAGATGGAGCACCAGCCATGGTTGACGTTATCGAGGATTTATAAGCTATTTAAAACAAAATGTGTCAGGGGTGTTAGCAATACATTGCGTCATCCATCGACAACATTTAGTTGCTAAAAATTTGAGTGTTAGATTGCATGAATCTCTTCATTTAGTCATTGATGCAGTAAACCGAATCCGAAGCAACGCGTTGAATACGCGGTTATTTGCGCAGTTGTGTGAAGAAAATGACGAACACTTTCATCTATTACTCCTTCACACTGAAGTACGCTGGCTGTCGAAAGGCATATGTTTGACAAGATTTTTTGCACTTTTTGAGACTATTTTAGAATTTCTGGATACTAAAGATAAAATTTAAAAAAAAAATTAATGAAGAGGAAAACAGACATCGCCTATTTAACAGATTGGTTTACAAAATTTAATATGGTTAATTTGCAATTACAAGGCGACAGTTTAAATTTGATTAAAACAAAGTCCAACTCATCAGCGTTTCTTGCCAGAGTTAAACTAATGAAGCAAAATATTGGACGGGGCGAATTTTCTCAGTTCCCCAATTTGTCACAGACAAGCTGCCAGGAAGACGACGTTTCAACTTACGTCCAACATTTAGATGCCCTCTATTCAGATTTTGAATCTAGGTTTGAGGATATTTTGACTATGGTAATACCACCGTGGATAATTAATCCATATGGTGACATAGAAGAAACGAATGTCATAATACAAGAGGAACTGACTGAACTAAGTACAAACGAAGAACTTAAGGTTCAGTTTAAAAACGGATATCAGCAATTCTGGCTGCAAAACAACATACCCGTTACTTATCCCGTATTATGGAATATAGCGAGGAAATTTTTAATTTCCTTTCCATCGTCATACCTAGTGGAAAGGGGGTTCAGCGCTGTTACCAATCTCCTAACGAAAAAAAAGAAACAGACTGGACATCATTAGCCGAGGAGATTTAAGATTAACCCTTACAAAATTGACGCCAAATGTTGATAATTTATTATTAAAGCATCAGGTTCACCCTTCTCACTAAAAATTTTGACTTATTGCTTATGTTATTTTATTTATAGTTTATTTTATGTTTATTGGTGTCTGACCAATAAATGCCCGCATTGGGAATAAGTGCCCGCATTGATTTTTTTAAAGAACCCCCCTTTATAGAAAATATTTTTTTTTAAATTATTCCGAAAATTCAAGGATAGGTACACACTAAAATTCGTTAATTTTTTGCCTATTTTTAGATAACTTAAACGTATAAGAAGCGGAATTTAATCAAATTAACAGTGAAATTATTGTAGAACATACATACATACATGTTATAATTAATAAACGAAATCGCTTATTGTACTATTTTAAGTAGAAAACTTCTTTTTGTTATTTTTCACTTTTTTTTATTTTATCCCTCTTATTTTTTTTCAATGCGGGTACTTATTCCCAATGCGGGCACTTAATGGTCAGACATTTAATGTTACGTATATTTTACATAACAGATACAAAATTTTATTTTGAGGAGTTTTAATTTAAATTCAATTAATAAATGTATAAATTAACATGTGTTTTACTACAGTTAGAAATTTACAGGAAATCAATATCAGGTAAGTAGGGGGTCTACCCAACACGGAAAAACATGGCAAGGGGTCTACGACACAAAAAAGTTTGGGGAACTCTGGTCTAACCAAAGACAGCCAACCACAACAATCACAGGTTTAGTCTCTGGGACAACGAATGAAACCATAGCAACTATCCTCTATCAGTATAAGAGGTCTATTATGCTGTTTTATTTCGATATTGTCGCACTTGTGCTGAACATAACCCTTTATGAACTGAAGATGGCGGCGCGAGGCTGATATATATAAAAGTTTATTATTATTATTACCATTATTATTATTATTATAAGATCCAATGAGTGAGATAGTTTCAATATCAAAAGTAAATATCCATTTTTAAAAGATACGCACTTGATGAATAAACAAGTCAAATATATGTTACCAAACATCTGTATAGCCACTGTATGAAAATTTAGTGGAATCATGTCCAACAATAAAATTGAGAATTTAAGCGCTAAAGTACGGAAAACTCACGAGGTTTATTTCCTCGAAGCCCAAGTATAGCACTAAGTACCTGCTCTTACCAGACGATTCACTAGGATCGAGAGGTCAGGAAGATGGTAAGGCGGAAGAGTTGAACAATCGTTAACGTTAAAGTGACAGCAAGCCGAGATCTGAGGGAAATCCTATCAAAAAACCTCTCACAGCTGTAATTCACTTGATGTTTTGAATCCCTATTATACAGGGTGGACCATAAAGACGTACGAATTTCAAAACCGCATTGCCCGAAGGAATTGGAACCGCAGGCCAACCATCTACGCCGTGCGTAGTGATGGGCGCATTGTATACATGATGTATAATACACCATAGTATACGCGTATATAGTGGTGAATATATACGTCTCGATATTGACGTATCCAATGTATACATTAGCAAATCATAGTTCAACTTCTTGCATACATTGCTGGCGAAAGTCCCTTTTTCCTTTTAGATTTCCATGTGTACGAGGAAGAGAAAGAGGTGGAGAAGCGGGCACCACTTGTGTAGAAAGAGTGCGCCACACACCACATCCTCCATAACTTCATACTCGTCTGTATCATAAACGTCTGCTGTGCTGTGGAAACTGTTGGTCTTCGGCTCCTATTATGGTTGTTAGTTTTGTTATTTGCATTGCGGGCTATGTTTTGACTGCAAATATTCCTACAAGTTCAAAAAAACTTTTCTATATAATTTCTAGCATTTGATCGCCGCATGTTCGATACAACAAAAATTAACACACCTACGTGATTTCAATCGAGATATAGCGGAATTGGAATACTTTGTTTTGTAGACACTACACTCTACGGAATATGTCTTTTCATTTTTAAACAAACCCTACTTTATCAATTTGTTTGTTCTTGGGGCGTTCAACCATGGTTTTTTAAAGTTGCCTGTCCACCAACTTTCTCACTTAAGCTATTCTATAAATTGTCTTCATCATTGTTTACATTGTATACGCATTGTATACATCGATACGTAGACAATTAATGTATACGCGTAAACGCCCATCACTGTTCCGTGCGATTGCCAAAGAAATGTTAGAGCGATTTCCAAGTTTAAACAACACCCTCTTTTCTGATGAAGCTCATTTTCATGTGAGTGGATTTGTTATGGTACTATAATATTCACTTCAAAAATTGAACGTTTGCGCTAGGCTCACGGAATTCCGAATTGGAATTCCTGATTAGGAAATCGTATACGGAAAACGAATGTATGCGCCCAGCCTTAACCGACGACGGTTTCCCAGCTCAAGCACAACATTTCTGAGGAGATGTCCGCTATCCCACGAGCGATGTGCCAACGAGTTTTCACGAATTTGAAGTCGAGGTTTGAGGAGTGCGTACGTCTTGATAGTTCACATCCCAATGTTGTTATTTTAAAAAAATAAAATTTCCATGTGTCTACATTATTAAAAATATAAATTATCTTCCCTATGCTTTGTAGATTTTTTCTGTGATTTTTTAAAATCCACTCAACGAATCTATCATATTCATACCTATATAATCGAACAAACATTAACGATCTACGAACGCCCTTTTTGTATATGTTTTGTGCTTCCGCCATTATCAGAAAAAAGTTTCACTTAAAAGGCTATCATTTTTACGGGTTATTCAATAGTTCGGACACACGTAAACTGACTAATGTTTTCTTGGAAACCCTAGGATATATAGGGAGTTCCAAGCGACTCATTGTCTATTTTAAATTAGGCAACCAAATGTCAAATAAGTAGGCCATAGTTGTATCAACCCATATATTTACTGTACAATATACGATACAAATATAATTAATGCTCAAATTTAGTATGGAAAGGCATCTTTAAGCGCCTGAGGAATTTTCTTTAAAAGTTCTGCGTGATCGACACCTTTAGCAGTGGCAAAAATCCCCTGGGCATCAGGATAAGCCACGTCCTTACCGTAACTATAGTGATTTCCATGAAGGTCAGTGAAGACCCCTCCAGCTGCCTCCAATACTGCTTCTGGTCCACAGGTGTCCCATTTTTTGCAGCCATTACTTGCGAATACGTACGCGTGGCATAGGCCTTCAATCACCAGCAAGGCCTAGAAAAGATATACAGCTTATGACTATATGATGAGCCCATAAGAGCCCTCTCTCATCGGAGGCCATGACGACTTCGCCAGCATTGGTAGCCAGACTATTCTATTAAAGTATAAGGAAGCTTCCTGGCTAGGCGGCGTCTCCAAATTGAAAGCCACACGGTTACCTGTTAAGCTGTATTTCTAGCGTGCACCGTGCCAAAGTGGCACATGGACACAAATGCTGAGATGCAGCTCAAAAACTTATTTCCTCGCCTATTAACTTTAATGGATAAAGATAGGTTTGGAAGAAGTCAAACATGTTCAAGGAATTTCAATCATTTCAATATAAAAGTTAATTCTCTAGTGTAGGTAGCATTTCACCAAGCCGTAGCAAGAAGTGCGATACATACAGGGAAAACCAAATTTGAAGAAGTGTTAGATATGTTACACCAGAAATTGTTCGCATAGGCTTCTAAAATAGGTTAGGTTACTACCAAACATAACAAGAAGGTCTGTTCGAATATTTAATTTAATATTTCGTTTTCATTTTGATGAGACTTATTTATTTCGATTTTGATGCGACTTAGCGATTTAATTTATTTTAGAATTATCTTTGATTTCTACCGATGGTAATAAAATCAACACATCCTGAGTTACATTTTGCGACAGCGAGTAGTCGGAAAATGCAAACAAATACCATTACGCAATACAAATCATGACTGCCTGCGTGTACGCAGATGAAAACCATTTCGAATTAAGACGACACTCCCCAACGAACGCTAGATGGGTGCTGTCCAAAATTGCTCTCCTCTGATCATGGAGGTGGAAACTCTGCCTTGGAATGTATGAGATGCGGTGTTGCCAAGCCAAATTTGGTTCTTAGTGAATACCTACGAGCGCAGGCGCATGGAGAGTCCAAGACAAACATCTCTCCGAATTTCAAGCTATTAACAAAGTGAGTACCGTGGGCTCAGCAAATTGAGTGTGTACTCGGTCGCATCACTGCGAGTCACACGTCTTTGCTCCAAATTTGTTGTGCAATATGTGAGTACATTTCCAACATTTGCGTGTTATTCCTCTTATGCTACAAGAAGATACATACATATAAATTTTTGCCTGAATAGATGAGTAACTCGACTTTTGGAATTATTTTTTCCTAATGGCATTTTAGAGACGTCAATGAAATATCAGTAGATGTGCTGGCAGTTTGAAAGCTTTTAAGCTTTCTTTAACCCAGAATGAACACAAAGGACTTATTGTGCGAGTTTGACCTATATATAGACCTTTGTACTTTAAAAATGTTTCCTGATCCTGTTTTTACATCTAACCACCCTCCACTAATGGATTTCATGCCTGAGCTCCACTCCAGCTCATGTGCACGTTAGAAATGCAGCTTTCTGTGGCGTCTGGCGACCCGCAGGTGTATTATGTTGCTTTGAAAAGTGACACTAAGTAAGAAGTTTTTGACACTAAGTAAGAATTTTGTGACATTATTTTTCTTAAGTAATGTCATATTTTTCAATTACCAAGTGAACAATTTGACATTATTAAGCAAGATTTTTACGTAAGATCTATGCCCTGCTGGCGACTCTGGAATGCCAAGAACGTCGCCAACGCGGGCAACGTCTTTTCGTCATAACAGCGAGACATTTGCTCTTTTTTAAAAAATTATCTTCGGTCTCTATCCGAGATGAAGGGATGTACCCAAAATTGGTTCTTTTTGTTTTTATTCATTCCTTTTGGTCCTAGATAATGAATTATGGCTATCTCTTCTAATTCAATTATAAAACCACGATTATGACGTTACCACATGACAAGCAAATCGGAGTCGCTGGTTACGCTGTGGCTGGTCTACCTAGGCGATCTTCAACAACAGAAGAATGAATTGCTGCATTATGGGGCCATGGCGTCCGGTCTTGGAGGGCTCAAAATGTGAAAAAAATATGATGTGTTCCCTACTTGAATGGACATAGTGAAATGAAAGGGTAGTATGGACTGAGAAATTTTCTTATCTGAAAATAAATCAGTTCTAAATTCAGTTTTTATAAATATATTTATTTAATTTAAACACGCCAAACCTTTGAAATCACCTATCTCAGGCACTATTGAAGCGATTTTATCGAATTTTGCAAGATAACAAGGTTACCTAGGAGTAACGTAAAACTGGACAGAAGGTTTGAAAATCCAAAGCTGCACTTGTTTTTCATCAAAATCAACACTCTTATTGATGAATACTGAAATGTTTGAGTATTTAGAAAAAAGCCATAGAATGGTACTAATTATTAGCAAAATAGATAAAACTAAAAGAGGCCCAATCACCTCTTTTAGTTTTTTAGTTAAACATGTTTACTTATTCAAATATCCGATCTTTAGTAGTTTATGCGATACAAAACTCAAAAATTGAAGGGATTTCTATTTGGTTTCATTAACATTTTACAAAATAATGCTTAAAATTGAACTAAGCATCTTTTGGGAACTCAAGATTTCTTTATTTCCTTGTATTATATTAAACAACGCCCTGTAAGTTGTACTCTGACTTTATTATTTCACAGAAAAAAGAGCAATACATGATACATGATGAGGTCGTAATGTGTACGAGAGAGAAGCGCGAGAAGTGTCCAATATGCATGTTAGAAAGAGTGCGCTGATGGCGTCCCTGGCATTGACACTCGTGTTGCTAGACAACGAGGTGCTTCGAACTCGTTCTAACACACATATTGCATGCTACTCTCTTGTACACATTACGACCTCAGTGGTATTTGGTTTTCAATGTATATATAAAATGGAAAATTAATGTTATGCGCCCTATTTACTTCTCTCGATATTTTTTCAATGATTTAATTCCAGCAACTGATATTGTTTAACAACATGAGCTCTGTTTAAAGTCAAGGTAATTTGACCTTCCAGACTAACATGAAAAGAAGTTAAAAATCATCAAAAACGTACAATGCAGGTCCGGACTTGAAATTTAATTAGGTGATGTAACATGTGTAGATTATCTAACTAAATCTAACATAGGGCTGTTGAGATCAAGCAAACTTGACTATTCTGAAAATGTTGAACCAGGTTTATCTACATTTTCATCATAATCTTCAATTGGTCTGAAGAGTCAAATTCAGTGCATTCGCATACTAAATGCTTTTAAAGCAGGACTCTCGTTGTTGCATAACAGCTGTTGGAAGAATCATTAAAGGATTACTTAAAAAACGTTGCACTCCATCACATTGATTTAAGTGAAAAACAAAAAAGTGAAAAAATCGAGTCCACTAGGTAACTTGCTTATCGTGCAAAATTTCATCAAAGTCGGTTCAATAGTGCCTTAGATATGTAATATTGAAGATTTGGCGTATTTAGATAAATCCATAAGAACTTAATTTAGAACTTTTTTGTTTTATAATATGAAAAGATTTCAGTCAGACAAATTTGGGATGCACCCAAATAATGCAGGGAACACCTAAGTGAAACTAGTAAACCAATCAATTTTGTTTTTTGATTGTTTTTTTTTTCCAAATACCTTGTGGCCTGCTCCTCCTACCCTTACAATCTTGGAGGGTTTTAAGGCTTCCAAAGCTTCAACCACTAGTGCAGTATTATGTGACCTAGTAGTGGTTAGAATTAGTTCACCTTTTGGTGGTGTTTGAGCCTGTATACCCCCTATTCCTGATCCCACCAAACCCCATATAGTACGACCCAATGTATCAGGGGCAGTTTTGTATCCATAGTAGGGTTGATGGATAACCCCTGCTACTGCTCGACCCTGGACTGCTATACCAATTAAAACTGTCACATGGTCAAGGAGACCCTGAAAAAGTAAGGTAAATGAGATACATAACCTTCAGGTCCTCATCTTCAATATGACTTACCTGGGTATATTCTGAAGTGCCATCTAGTGGATCAACCCAAACCACAACATCTTGAGGATTGACTTCTTTATATTGTGGAGGGCAATCCAATGCTAGTACACTTTGGTCAACTTCACTTACAATCCAGTCCTGTACCACCTTAAAACAAAGTTTCATTTCACATTTTGTTAAAATACTGAGTGTTCTCAAGCTGGTATGTGCCTTTTAGACATCATGTACCTAGTTTGTCTAAAATAAAGCAAATTTTTACATAGGCAAATCTTAATCAAATTATTGGGTTCCAAGAAAATCTGAGATATTAAATGTGGCCATGCCCCCAGGGTATTAACATATCATGACACATTGCTACTTATATTTCTAATCAAATGAAGTAGTTTCTTCCACATGTTTTTACTTCTTTGTCATTTCAAGCATAGTTATTACTGAAAAGAAAAGTCACAACTTTTAGAACACCCTGTAGAGGGTTCATTAGAATCATGAACGTTGTAACTGAATTCCAATAAAGCAGCGATAATGTTAATTCAATCGTATATCTTACATCATCTATTCTATGTGAGTGCCCTTCTTCACCTATAATAGTGACATTAGGAAACTTTTTAGTCAAGGAGGCAATTATGCAACGTTGAGCTGATCGATCAGCCTCAGTTTGAAGGTCATTTGGTTCACTTCCCTGAAATAAGTAAACGGTATATATTTAAGTATACAGGGTGTACAATAAGTACCATGACAAACTTAAGGATAAGGTAGGCTTTGGACTGACAAAAGATTGCTTATTGAATACAGATTTCAGAACGGCGTTACACATACTATTTGGAATAGAAAAAAAGTGATATTTGTAAGTGTCTGACACACACTACTAATATATTGGTTTTACTATTTAAGTTAACGACCAACGACATGCTAAATAATACAACGATATTATTAACTAGCAATTTGGGCATATTTTGTCAATAAATGAATATTTTTTTTTCACAAACATTTTGTGCTTTAATTCACGCTAACCTGTCCATTAAAAAAATTGTTCTTTTGTATTGTTACTGACTCGAGTCTGAATTTCAGTAAGTTTCATGAAATGATCTTTTGCCAGAACATTTACAACACTACTTAGAACTGAATAATTACCACAATTATTATACAAGAGGAAAAATAGATTTTCGCAGAGCATTTGAAACTGTTAACAGAGAATTACTAATTAGGAAGTTACAAAGATATGGCTTTCAAGGTAAAGTCCTAGGTTGGTTTTCACAATACTTGGAAATGAGATCTCAAAAAACCAAATATTTAGAATCATTATCTGAATCTAAGATCAATGTACATGGTGTTCCACAGGGTACTGTGCTGGGCCCAGAATTGTTTTTGTTGTACATAAATGACATTGTTAATATAATTAAGAAGTGTGAAATTCAACTCTTTGCAGATGACACTATGCTTTTTGTTAAGGGTGATTCAGTGGATGATATAATAAACTTTTTAAATGAAGATTTAAATAATATATATAAATGGTTAAACAATAATAGTTTAAGTGTAAATGTAAATAAAACTAAATGTATGATATTGAAATCTAAGCATAATGTAACTAACACATACAATAACAAAGGTATAGTAATTAATGGTAGTTGATGAATGTAAGTATTTAGGAATAATTATAGATGAAAATTTAACGTTTTCAAAACATGCAAATTTATATAACCAAAAAGCTATCAAAGAAAGTGAATTTATTATGTAGAATGGGGAAAGACCTGAGTGTCTGGGCTAAACTAATTATATATAAGACGATAATCCTACCACATTTCAGTTACTGTGCAACAATCTTGTATATATTTAAGAAAGGTGATATTGATATTATACAAAAAAAAACAAAACCAGGCATTGCGAAGTATTTTGGGATGGGGAAGATACGGTAGAATTAAAGACATGCTGACATCTACAAATTTATTAAGTGTAAGCCAGGAGATCTTTTATAACACTATGGTGGTAGTATACAAAATAAGGAATAGAATGAACCCAGAGCATATTATTAATAAATTAAAAATGGTCAGCGATATACATTGTTATAATGTTAGATCTAATTCCAACTTTTATTTTATAAGGGCTTTGTAGATTTTAATAGGATTCCAGAAGAAATTAAAACTACAAATTTTGTTAACTTCAAAAGGCATTTAAAAAAATATGTAATAGAAAATTGTAGTTTATAAGTTTATATCCAAATGTTTTCTCTGTTAGCAAATTGCTATGAAATAAAGATCATCATCATCATCATTTACAAAATTGCAATAGTAATATAACTAGCAAATCAATATTTCGGAAAGGATTACTTGAATTTAATAAACTAAATAATGATATAAAGTCTACTTTGAAGATATTTAAAAGAAAATTGAAGGAATATTTCATGGTCAATGAAAATTATTAGAGATGCAAATGTTGTTTTTTTCTGAATGTCTGTATGTCATGTAATTGTTTAAATTTTTAGAAGAATGTAATTGTAGCAATCATGCTAAATAATATAATAAAAATAATAATAATGTAGCTTTGTACTATGTAGCATGTCACTGATCAGTAACCAGTGCAACATGAATTTAAATCCAATAATTACATTGCAGTGTGTGTCAGTCACTTACAAAAGCAGCTATCACTTTTCTATTCCAAACAGTATGTGTGGTGCCTTTCTGAATTCTGTATTCAATGAGCAATCTTTTATTCAATATAATGCAGTTATAACCCAGTACATTTTTGTTTCACCACAGATGGTCAAAGTTCAGGAAAAAATATTGGAACATTAAAAATCCTTATTTGATCATGGTTCCTTAGTATCTTTTAATTACATTGCATTTGTATATCATAAAGCAACTATCTAGAAGAATTATATAGAAAAAATGAACAAAGTATGACCTTATTTGTACATGCAGCTAAAGACCACAGATGAAAAGGTTTGTTTTTTATAATTTAAGAAAACATTCAATATCTCAAAAACATTGACTTTTATATAGGTAAGTTTTTATTTGGGAGGTCAAGTTTGTCATGCTACTTATTGGACACAGTATGATATTAATTTTTGGTGACATGGTAGGTAAAGGTATGACCCAATCATGCTTATGTTTCTTTAGGTCAAATGAAACTAAGTCCTGAGTCTAGTTGGGGCAAAAATTCTAGTTATTAAACATTTCATAAATAATTCTTAAGTCCCTTGCACATCTGTGATCTAGATGAAAACTTGTTTCCTCAGTAAATCTGATATCAATCAGATGTTGGGATTAACAGGTGGTCCAAATGACTATCTTTTTCCCCCATTTTGGCTGAATAATACTAATTTTTCATGCCTTTTGACTGTAGAAGTATAAGAAAGTCGTAAAGAAATATTTGTCTCAAAGCAAGGAACAAACTTATATTGCAAGTGGGTTTTAGAGTTGCTATAGGTATTCATATTCTTAGCATCAATGCCATTACTATCATATAAGCAATAATTGATTTTTGATATTAACTACCTTTTCCACAATACCTAGATCACCTTGTCTCATAATGTCTTTAATAATCTGACCAGCCTTTGCAGACGTCTTCACGGAAGAAGCAAGTAGCTCCAAGATCATTGGTTTCCCCTGGGACATCTTCAAAGCACTGGTTACACCTACAATATTAAAATTCAAGTCAGGCGGAATAATTTGGAATTGATTGTACACGTATGAAAAAGGCTTAATTTCACGGCCAAACTTAATCAAGCGTATATATAACCTTGTTTACTTTAACATAATCTACTGTAACTGTAAATACCTTTCTTTTACCTAGTTGAATAAAATTGAACGTAACGTACTGGATGTTATTTTCAAGATCATCGTTTTTGTCATCTGCTTTAGAAAATTGAGAATTGATGAAGCTGTACTACTGAGTTTTAGCTAAAACATCCTTGTTTGTTAAAATTGTAGAAAAATGTTTTTATTTTGAATTTGAACTTGTCATGGCTCTGTCACTTTTGTCTTAACCTCCTAAATCCTAACGTCAAATTGATTTCTGTCAAAACTATACTAAATTGGAATTACCCACTCTGGCACAGCGATGCCACATTTGCACACTTTACCAGCTGTAGTCAAAATCCCCGGAGTCCATAGCTGATTAGGAGGGGTCGAGGAGGGCACGCGACCTTTCCGAAACGTCCATATCTGCCCTGTTCAAGAAAATGGTATATATTACTTTATGTTAGTGCTAAAATTACCTTGCTAGACCTGAACTGTCAGACAAGCGCGTGACGTACTGTCAGTTATTGGTTGGAAGACGAATTTAAGGCCCGTATCGTCAGTCGTCCCTACAATAAATTGTAGGGCGCGTTTATGGCCTCCTTGATTTTCATACTCCTTTCTCTCCTTCAAAAATTTCTGGATTACACTTGTCCCGTGTCAGCGTCAATGCTGTCCTATTGTAAAGATATGTTTTCTTTATATATATATATATATATATAATTGTAGGAAATTTCAGGCTGATCAAACATGATATAACTCAAAAGCAAGCACAATTTGATGCAAATAGATGTTTGTGACACAACCTCAAAATAGAGCGCTGACACGTAGAAGTAGAAAACTATGACAATCAAGGAGGCTATAAAGGCGCCCTACAATTGTAGGGACGACTGACGATACGGGCCTAAACTTGTAGTCCCAAAAGTAAGTAATTTTTGTAAGTCTGACAATGCCGCGGTCTAATATCCTCTAAAGACAGACGGGGAAAGTGTCAAAAGTCAAAATGGTTTGAGGTTATGTTAACTGCTAACCTCTAAAAATTTTACATTCCCCTCTCCAAAATGTTTTTAATTATGAATAACCGTTTCAAAAATGTTCATAAACTCAAAAAGCTAATAAAAAGTAACGTAAGGTTCTATAGTGAAGCACTAAAATTTCCAGAAGTTAACATCAGTTTTTCAAATGGGTAAGACATTAGCTTTGTGAGTCGGCACTTCCCACAGCACCATTTAACTAGAAACAAACAATTTTAATTAATCCTACGGCTCATCCATTAGAATAGAAATATAGGAATGTATTCTGAATAACGCTCTATAATTTCCAGGAGAAATCTCAACATTTCCTCAGGACAGTATGCAAGACTGGCTGATGGATGTGCAGTAGGTACTTTAGGAGACACGTCTGTGATGGTAACAGCCGTTTCAAAAACAAAACCAACTCAGGCCAATTTTTTACCTCTTGTTGTAGATTATAGACAAAAATTAGCAGCTGCTGGTAGGATACCAACAAATTTTTTTAGGAGAGAACTAGGTAAATACTCCCAGGTTACACCATTTTTCAATAAATAGCAATTATAATCCAGTATTTTGGCAAACAATTGGTTTTAACACATGAACATGAGTGTTTCCAAACTCAGTTTTTGTTCACGTTTCAAATCTGACAATAATTTAGTCTTGGATCATTGAATGGTATTGTGGAACCCATTTTCTGTGCCATATTAAACCCAACAATTCTTCACGATTTTTTAATGTTCATACTTCAGCACCTTGAATTTCTACATTTTACCAAGTTTCAATCACTTATAAAATCAGAATATGTCCCTAAAATGCCTTTAATGAGTTTTATATGAGACAATTTTTATAATCCCCTGTATATGTAGTCTGAGCATCAAAAGAGTTTTTGAATAGATTGGTTGCATGGATGCCAGTTTCTATGTCAATTTGAGACTAAGACCCACAGGGGCTCCCAAGCAATCAGTTTTTTATTTGTTTGTTGTAATCCTATTTAATTGTAGGTCCCACAGAGCGGGAAATATTAACCTCCCGACTCATAGACAGAAGTCTGCGTCCCTTATTTCCAGATGGTTACAATTATGAAACTCAAATAATATGTAATATGCTAGCTGTGGATGGGGTTCACAACCCAGATGTGATCTCCATAAATGCTGCCTCAGCTGCTTTAAGTTTAAGCGACATACCTTGGAATGGGCCCATAGGGGCAGTTAGAGTAGGATTTATTGATAATGAGGTTTGTAAATTAATAATAATAATAATAAAGTTGTCCTTATACATGAAAAAGAACTTTGGCATATGTGTCAGACAGCTTGTATAAAGGCTGATTAGAGTCTGTTCGCTTTTTGTCTCTGTGGCCATAATCAGCTATACAATGTTGCTTTCTGCTTTTTAGCAATCATCAGTATTATATAGTCTAGTTGTTGCAGGCAAACAATTGAAAATAGATCTAAATTTATAGGCCCTCTTCACATGGGTGATCAGAAGAATGGACTTGAATTCTAAGACCAAAGCCACATCTAAAGGGTCATATGTGTAAAGAAACTATGAAGCTTCCTAGAAGTTTAGCAGAATTACTTGTGAAAAAATCAAGGTCCTTTAGTAACTTTTAAGGAACATTTCAATATTGACCATAGATTTGAGCTTGAGCTTCATAATAATAGTATATGGCAACAAGTAAAATTTTCCATTGCTGGTGTCAAGAAGGGGCTGGTTCTCAGTTAAAAAAGTTGACTGTAAAGTAACTTTGAAGGTGATGTTCCAGCTTGAATCCAAGACCACAATCTGTGTAAAAAATGATTAGGGCAGAATTTTTCATCAATAATCCTGCTAAGCTTCTAGGAATTTTCTCTAGCCTCACGAGGCTTTTAGCACATATGCAGATATAGAATTTTTCGTTCTTTTGATTGCTTGTGTGAAAAGAGGGTTTTCTAATTGAAAAAAATTGACCTCGATTTAATCTTGAGTGGGGGAGGGAGAGGGTAGGTGGAGAGAGTCACGCTTGCTTTTCCTGGAAAATCTAGATCTGTTCTAGTACTTTTATTAGACTCTGTATAATAGTAGTTGCAATTACAGGTTATCATCAATCCAACTAGAAAAGAACTTCAACTCTCCTCACTAAATCTTGTGATTTCTGCTACTAAACGAAACCTTGTAGTCATGTTAGAAGGTAGTGCTAATGATATACTTCTGCCTGATCTGCAAAAATCTATCAAAACCGGTACCAAAGAAGCTCAACACATCATAAACGAAATCGAAAAATTACAAAAAACATTTGGAAAACCAAAGAGAGAAATGGAAAAACCTCCTGAGCTGTCAGAAGAAGCTCTGGAAGCTCTAAGGTCTATGACAGAAATGAGGGTTAAAGGAATATTCAAAAACTATACTTATGATAAATTAGGGAGAGATCAAGCTCTGCAAGAGGTGAGAAATGGTGTTGTAGAAGCAGTCAAGCCTACATTCCCAGATATTGATCCCAACTTAATAAATGAAGGGTATAATAAGATCGTTAAGAAGATATTTAGGGATGTTATTTTTGAAGAGGCAAGAAGGTGTGATGGTAGAGAGTTTAAACAATTGCGTGATATTTCTTGTAAAGTCAATTTGTATAAACCTCTGCATGGTTCGTCTGTGTTTCAAAGAGGACAGACGCAAGTGTTTTGTACTGTCACTCTCGATTCTCACGAGAGTGCCATGAAGTTAGATCCACTCAGCATGTTAGTGAGGTATGTATAATATTTAATCTTTCTCTAATGTTGATTATGTTTTTGAACAATATATTAACTGTTTAAAGTTATGGCAACGTACACATTGACCTTAATTGAAATTTAACTCAATGATTTACGTGTGATAAATGTCAAGTAATTTTAACGTTAAAGCTTATATAAGTAGTATTTGTGATTACCAAAACTATTTCATTTCATTTTTTTCAGTGGTGTTAAGGAGAAGAATTTTTTCGTTCACTATGAATTTCCACCATTTGCGACCAAGGAAATAGGAAGAATTGGACCTATTGGTAGAAGAGAAATGGGACATGGAGCTTTGGCAGAGAAAGGATTAATGCCAGTTTTGCCTCATGATTATCCATTTACAATTCGTCTAACTTCGGAAGTTCTGGAATCAAATGGTATGACATTTTGATAGTATATCTACTTTTGAAACTGATTAGGTACTCTTAAATACCTTAGAGTTACCAGTTAGTATCTATGTACACAATTTTGTCAGACATCCAATCCCTGCAGGACAAACATGGGAAGATAAAGGAGTCAATGCACTATGCAGTGTTGGTATACTATTGCTTGCTGGGCATGAACACCCATTATAATTTTCTAGGTCGTTTTCTGATATACTCTTATGAATCAAATAAAACTTTTCAATTTGACTACCTTCATATCTGTTTTTTACACTATTTTAATTTAAGCTCAACTTTATTCATTGTCATTGAAATATCATCACGTTTCAGCTAATTTCAACAAGTTTTGCTGCAATATAATATGGCTTTTGAACACATCACATCACGACTTATAAGAAACAGATCCTAGGGCAAACACGTTCGTTGTTCCACCTTTTTATTGTTATAACAACCCACATTTTTCATTCGGTGAAGGTTGAGTTGAAGGCTAAACAATAGTTTTGGCCAAAAAATTCTCCCAGCTCCCACTTTACACCTAATATCCATTGTTTGACTTATTGAAACACTTTATGGACCTGAGCGTCTAGGGGGCTCACTGTATTGTGAAACATCGCAAAATAACGAGAAAATGAGCATTTCAGAAAAAGAATAGGACATATAAATAACTGAAAAGATAATGACTAAAAATGAGAAAGACAAGTCACTGGACATCTAGTTCTTGAAGGGGCAAAATAATCTACGCCATTCAACCTATTCTATTGAATTGCGTACATTTTAGGCTCTAGTTCTATGGCTACTGTGTGTGGAGGCAGTTTGGCTCTAATGGATGCAGGTGTTCCAATCATCAGTCCAACAGCAGGAGTGGCCATAGGTCTTGTTACAAGATATGATGCGCAGGAAAAGGACATTGAAAACTACCAAATTCTTACAGACATCCTAGTAAGAGATACTTAAATGTTATTTCAATACACTTGTTTATATTTTATACTCATTTACGACTATTATATGAATCCCATTTTTCTCAATGATTGAGCTAAAATGGCCCTTAATGTGTAGAGGCAACAAGCAGAGAAAAATAGTAGTAGTAGAAGATATATATTTATTTAGCATGCTTGGCTGCATAAGCAGAATAACTATAAACAACTTAGAATCAGTAAATTCAAGCCATATGATGCACATGTTGGGAAAGCTTGTAGATTTGAAAGTGATTGCTCAATTTTACTTTTCTGGTCTTTTATCACTGTATTTAATTTATTATGTTCAGACAACTCTTGATGGAACACATATTTGTAGCATATATTTTGAACACTAATGGGTGTCATCTTTATTTATGGTATTATGTAAATGATGCTCCGCATTTGAAGATGTTAATTTAATGTTAATGGTGGAAATATACTATCTTTTGCTTCATAAATAAATATCATTACAACATATTTGATAACATTTTTCACATTGAGTCATCTGAATTTGCTGAGCATTTGTCTAATGGATTATATTTATCTTTATTCACTATTATTCCCATCTCTTATTCTCATTTTGTAAAATTTGCAGTTTTTTAAAAATGGATATATTAGCTAAATAGAGAATAGTCGAAAGTCAGCTATATGAACCTAGACATAAAATAATGATTATCAAAATTTAATTGAGAGTCAACAAAAACTCCAAGGTATTTTGAAGATTATGAAGATATTGAATTCATAGAGCAATTCCACCATCATTTGTACATTGTGTTTTTTCAAATAACATAGCTTTCATTCTACGTGTATTTACTTTGAATTTGTTAGGTGTTAATAATTATTTTGAAACAAGTTTCAAGTCTTCATTTATACAGGGTGTTCCTTAATGATATGCTAATATTTAAGGGTGTGAATCTACATGAAAAATTAGTATTAGTTTGCTTCATAAACTATGGTCCAAAAATGATTCCTTACAAAAACTCGGGATGTTGAAGTTTTAGGAAAAAAATGGAAATTAATTAATATTTTCAGAACCGCTTCAGATATTTCACTGATATTTAGTACGTAGTGAAAGTTAATAAAGTTGCATATTTTTCAATGCAAAAATAACTTTTAGCTTTAACAGTGGCGTGCGTACGGGTATTGACTTCGATATTTTTTAAGAAAACAATGGTACGCCAATAGTTTTTTGCCAAATAAAAATTATTTTTGAATTCCCCGTTCAATTTAAAACAAATGATCTTTCTTGAATTGTTTTTTTTTTCGATGCGCCATTTTTGAGTAAAAAATAAAAACTGTTCTATTGTCTAACTTGCAAAATTATTATTAATTTAATTGGAAAAATTAAACACATGGGTAATGAACAACAACAACTGACAACATAAACATAACATTAAAACCAACGAAATGATTACAAAAATTGTTGAAAATGGCCCCCTTCACTTAGTATGCATGCTTCCGCCCTCCTTCTCATGGAATTGCGCACTCGTTGAAATATCCCTGGAGTGTTTTTTATTCTATCACAAGCTGCAACTATTCTTTCTCTTAATTTCTGCATTTGATAATTCACCATTATTAACAAGATTGTAAAAACTAAATAATGAAAAAGATGTCACAGCGAACAGATTTGAATAACAGAGACTTATCAGATGTCAAAAGCCAGTGACGTATTCCAGAGCAACTAGATATTTATTGCTAAATTGCATTCTTCAATTATTACATTGATTTTCTCGGACAATAGAACGGTTTTTAATTTTTTACTCAAAAATGGCGCATCGAAGGAAAGCAACTTAAGAGAGATCATTTGTTTTAAATTGAACGGGAAATTCAAAAATAGTTTTTATTTGGCAAAAAACCATTCGCGTATCATTTTTTTCTTGAAAGATATCGAAGTCAATACCCGTACGCACTCCACTGCTAAAGCTAAAAATTATTTTTGCATTGAAAAATATGCAACTTTATTAACTTTCACTACGTACTAAATATCAGTGAAATATCTGAAGCAGTTCTGAAAATATTAATTAATTTTCCTAAAACTGCAACACCCCGAGTTTTTGTGAGGTAACATTTTTGGACCATAGTTTATAAAGCAAACTAACATTATTTTTTTTGAGTTCTTATGTCATCATAAAATAAAAAGTATACTGCCCTGAGGAACACCTAACGTAATTTCAATATTTGATGAAATAGTGTTATTAACTTGTGTAACATCCTTTTAGAAAACTAATTTTCATACCAGTCTAAAACATTTCCTGATATATCATATGCCTTCAATTTAGAAAGCAAAATATTCATATCAATTAAAGAAAACTTTTTCAGGGAATAGAAGACTACATGGGAGATATGGATTTCAAAGTTGCTGGTACAAGAAAGGGAATTACAGCCTTACAGGCAGATATAAAAATACCAGGTCTTCCGCTAAAAATTGTTATGGAGTCTCTCCAACAAGCCGTGGATGCCAAATCTAGTATTATAAACATAATGCATGAATGTATCGACAAACCTAGGTAGGTAGGTATTCCTTTACCAATGATCGTCAAATTACTCCATCTCCAAAATATAAAATATGGTGTTCCATTTACAAAAAACAAAGAGGCAGAATAAAGTCAATATTACTGTCACTTTTAGACGTTTTGTTACATATAGTCAACGCCAAACACGTCATCACGATAAAAATTCCCCGACCTAATGCCTAGGTTTCTATCACAAACAATTGCTCTATTGCAGTTTCATATTAATGTGATATATAAATTGTAAAATGGTCATTACTCTCTTATTATGGTTAATAGTCATATAAACATTGTTATTAAAATATCACATAAGTTGCTTTCTGATAAATTTAGACGCATTATGCGAAATAAAATGTTTTGCAAACGCTCCAATCACTTATCGACATGTAAACGCACTAAACCGATTTCGCAGCGTTGACACATTGTCACCTTGAAACTTATTTAAACTGGGAACTGACATTTGTATTAATTTTGACACTGAATCAATTTGTGGCATTTCAAATCTTTATAAATCCTTTGGCCCCGCATACTGTAAATCAACAACTGTTTGTTTCAAAACAAAATTATTCATTTTACGAGTAGATAAAGGCAATTTTGGTATATAAAGATGCCCAAACAGTTAAATAGTCGGTGTAAGGAACTCGTGGCCTCGTTAATGCACTACTTTGAGCAAGAAAGGGACAACAACGGGCCTTTGTTGCCTTTAAATGCTGTTCAAGAGGTAGGTTACTAATAATTATATGTAATGTATATTAATAATAGTGAAATTTTATTTCATTTTTTGTAGCGTGTTGCTGCTGCTTTAAAAATTAGTTTAAGGACAGTTAGTCGTATTTCCGAGGGTGTGAAAAGTGATGCAAATTTAGAATCGCCCAAGAAAAAGCGGAGTTATATTAAACGTGTAACCAACACAGCGACATTGGATACAAGTGCCATTCGAGAAGTGATCTATAATATGTATCACAAAAGTAAGATCTTATTATAATAACTTATCAGAAATTTGCATTAATTTGTTAACTAAATTATAATGTCATATTACACATGGTTTCAGAAGAACAAGTTACGATACAAACTTTATGGTCTCGATTAAGAGATAGGGCATTATTTGATGGTAGTGCCACGTCTTTAAGGCGGTTGCTTAGAGATCTTGGATTTAAGTGGCTTAAGGACAATCCGCGACGAGGGCTCATGGAACTACCAAGTATAGCTTTGAAAAGGGTGGAATTTCTAAGGCAATACAATCAAGCCAAGGTTGAGGCCTTATACCAGTTTGTCTTCCTCGATGAAACTTGGATATTTCAAAATGGGACCATAGGTCGCTCTTGGCAAAATGGAAACCAAAAAAGCGTGAAAGCTATTAAAACAGATGGTAAAAGGTATGTACTTTTACACAATTTGCACTATAAAATTTAAAACTAATATATTTTAGATACATTATATTACATGCTGGAAATGAAAATGGGTTTATTGAGGGTAGTGAAGCGATATTTTTTTCGAAAACAAAATTGAGCGATTACCATTGAGAGATGAACCAGGACAATTTTTTGAAATGGTTTCAACATCAGTTATTAGAAAAATTGGAGAGTCCATCTATGATTATACTGGATAACACCCCTTATCACAGCATGATATTGAACAAAGTGCCCAACAATGCATGGACAAAAAAAAATATCCAAGACTGGTTGACAAATCAAAACATACCATTTTTAAACACAATGTTTAAAACAGAGCTATTGAGTATTGTTGCTCGGTACATAATGCTTCTTAATTATATATATTTTGGTCGACAGTTTATATTTCTTTTGTTTATTCCTATTCTTAAAATAACTGCTTTTTTAGAAACAAACCACCTAAAATATACGTGATTGATGAATTGGCGGAACAACATGGGCACAAAGTTCTTCGTCTGCCTCCTTACCATTGTATATTTAACCCTATTGAGTTAATTTGGGGCATAGCAAAAGGTTACTATAACAGACATATTGGTAGAGATGGTAACAGTGAAAAAGACTGTTTGGATATGTGGAACGAGGCTCTACAAACGGTTACCCCAGACATGTGGAAAAATAGTGTTCGACATACTGAGCAAGAAATTTTTAAATGGTATGAAAGAGAACGAATTTTTGATCGACCAGACATCGAACCTTTAATAATCAACTTTGAGAGTGATGAAGATTCAGATTCAGACAGCGCTGAAGAAAGAAACTCCGACTAACTTTATTGTACAGAAAAAGCTTACACCAGTAGCTTACCTAATTTTAGAATGCATTTTTCTGTATGAATTCTGTAAAATAAATACCATGCATAAAATTTGGAGGACCCCATTTGGATTTTTATTCAGTACCTTTAAGCTATCAATTAAATATGGTAGTTTCATAGTGTCATCTGATCAATAATTGTCATACTTAATGATTATGCAAGTACAGATCTATAAATTTATTATACTATTATTTTTGTTCTCATTTGAGGTTAATATTGCTTATAAACCTAGATGCGTAAATAATAAATTTTATTATTTTACAAAAAGTTTGGCAACAATGTAAATTTTTCAACACACCCACCTTGATGACGTGCACGCCACTTTGTTTGGCGTTGACTATATTCATAGTGACTAAAATGCAAATGGTTAGATACCAAATGACTTCTCCAAGTTCCTGCCTTTTTTTCGTAATAGTGCAATTTTGATTTTTAATCGATTGCAGGGAACAAAAGAAAGAAAACTGGCCGGTATGTGAAAAACTGGAAGTGGAAGCTCACAAACGAGCTCGCCTATTGGGAGTTGGTGGATACAACTTGAAGAAATTGTATGCAGAAACGGGAGTTCAGGTCTCCCAAGCAGACGATACGGCATTTCAGGTGATTTCTATTCATGAAAGTTTGTTCTTTATTTTCTGACTTATCCAATCGCGACCTTTCAGATTTTCGCGCCAAGTCAACATGCCATGGATGAAGCTAAGGAGATCATCGAAAAACTCCTAGCAACTGAAAAAGCGCCGGAGTTAGAGTTTGGAGGGATTTACAAGGCGACCGTAGTCGAGATAAGAGATATCGGTGTAATGGTCACCTTGTATCCTGGAATGCCACCTGCGTTGTTGCATAATTCGCAGTTGGATCAAAGAAAGGTTCGTTTTTGGTCAAAATCAATTAAGCAAGATCTGAAGTTATTAAAACAAAAGTCCATGTTAATTCCAAAGCTTTGCATTCGAGTTACTAATAAGTTTCGAGTGTATTGTGTATTCAAATCTCATTTATTCCCCACCACTAGCGCGCGCCGTAAAAAAAATCACTTGCTATGCATGTTCTAGAAATATCCAGGATATCCACTGAATGGACCGATACATCCAATGCCTATCAATTGGTATAACGAGATGTCCGCCTAAATTCAAAAATCTGGATATTAGAATGCTGATGTTATATACGTAGTCGTGCCATAAGTTCTGTCCCATGATAATCTCATGATAAAAATGAAACAAGATAAGATATATTTATATGAAAGATATTATTTATTCGACAACATTTTTAGAATTCATAATCAAACAGTTTTATTCAAAATGTCCCCCCTTGGCCTTCACACACTGCTTCAATCTCGCGGGCCACTCATCTATCACTGCACGCACAGCTTCCAAAGGAATAGCTGCCGCTGATCGGATCAAATCCGCTTTCAGGGACTCGATATTACGGTGGGCTTTGGAGCAGGCCAACTGCTCTAGCAGGTCCCACAACTTGTAGTCTAAAGGACTGAGGTCCGGACTCCCTGAGGGCCAATCTTCCGCAGCAATGAACTCTGGCACATTGCTTTCCAGCCAGCGCTGCGTACTCTTAGCCTTGTGAGCGGGGGCGGAATCCTGCTGGTAGACCCAGTGTTGGTTGGCAAACAATGTACCACTTAAAGGCTTGACGATAGGATCCAGTATGTCGCTCTGATAGTTTGCCGCTTTTGTTTTCACGCCCTGTTTACAGAAATGGAGCTGAGTGACCCCTTCGTAGGACACCCCCCACCAAACCATGACTGACGCAGGGTGGTGGCCTCTCTCAACTCTCGGAATGATCTCCGAAGCTTCCTGTGAACTCCTTGCATACACTTTGTCATTTTGTCGGTTGAATTTTTCTTCTATGGTGAAGATTTTCTCATCCGTGAACAAAATCTTTCGGAATCCCCCAGCTGCGTACCTCTCCAAGAGCTTCTTGGATCTTGTCGCCCTGATGTGTCGCAAGGTTACCGTAAGTCGCTGGCCCGTACGTCTCCGGTAAGCCCCTAGCCCTAGGTCTTGTTTAATGATGCGCGACATCGTCCGGACAGGAATCTTCATTTCCCTGGATAGGATCTTCTGCTTCCGGAGTGGATTCCTTTGAATCCTGGCTTTTACGGCTTTGATGGCTGCTGGAGTCCTTACTTGACGAGGTCTTCCGCTTCTTGGCCTGTCATCAACAGAGGACGTCTCATTGTACCGCTGAATGGTCCTAGACACAAATTTACGCGATATTTGAAGGCCGCGTAAGAGTTCAAAAATCTGACTAGCACTGTGATTACACTTATGTAAAGCTATCACTGCAATACGGTTCTCTGCCTTGCCCCACTCCATCGTTATGCTTCGAGAGATCAATACAAACTGAGGTATATGTAATTACCCGAAAAGCGCTTAATCAACTGACACCACAATGTAAACAATCGGACAAGTATTAACAGGTCTACACTTGTTTGAAAACGAGGGACAGAACTTATGGCATGACTACGTACACTACTCAAAAAAATTAAGGAAGCAAGAAAAATACCCAAATTTTTCGGTGATTTTTGAAAGACTGTATTTCGGGGAAAAATGGTCATATCTAGACTCTAAAAAAAAGCATATCTCGGTAACCAGTGGTTGCACAGAGAATGTAAGCGTATGTCCGAAAACTGGAATAAGTCTCCTATAAGATTTGATTGCAAACTTTGAGGTTTTTTTTTTTGTTTCCATAGTGTTGATTTTAAAAAAGTCAAAAAATGTACTTTTTCGCTTATCGGAGAAAATCGACCGGAATTTTGAGACTACTAATGAGAAGGCTAATGTTTTTAGGCTTTTTATACCTCAATGTATCCCTAATAACCCCGCACGACGGCATATCGATCCATCGTACGGTTTCTGCGGGCCGGATGATCAAGATTTCAAAGAAAGGAGCAACATTTTTGTATGAAAACATCCTGTAATCTGGTTGGAAATGGAAAAATAATTATCTAAGACCATCAATTTTAAAAAAGAATAGGGAAAAAATATTCATTTATTCATGGAACATTCCAAAAAACAAAAATTCTGACCAGGGACGAATCTAGAAAACATTTTTTGGGGGGTCTCAAAGGCGGATTTAGATATTGTCTGTTGTTTCTGAGAAACCGTGCAATGGATCGATCTGCCGTCGTTCAGGGCTATTGATGAACAAAAAAAAAACCTAAAAACATTGGCTTTCTCGTTAGCAGTCAAAAATACGGTCAATTTTCCAAAACAAAGGATGAAGTGACTTTTTTGACTTGCTTAAAATCAACACTAAGGAAACAAAAATAAATTTCCACAAAGATTTCAATCAAATCTTATAGGAGATTTATTCCAGTTTTCGAAAATACCCTTACATACTCTGTGAGACCACTGGATACCGAGATATCACTGGTTGATGACTAAACGGGATATTAAACGGGCTATCTGATCCATATGTTGGCGTGACAGAAAAATTTCTTTAAAGCTCATAGACTAAAAAGAAGAAGGTAAAAGCTTTGCATTTTTTTTGTTGAGCTATCTGTTAGAATTGCATGAGAACCGTTGCTCCTATAATTATTCGGCTAAAACTAGAATCTTGAGGCTTCAAAATGCTTTTGTTAAAGTCTGGATTTGACCATGTTTCACCAAATACAGCTTGTCAAAGATCCCCAAAACATTCGGCTTTTTTCTTGCTCCCTTAATTTTTCTGAGTAGAGTATTTAATATTCCCAATAGACACCCACTGAATGTTGCGAAGTATCCGGCAGTTCGTTATAGAAACATCTAATGGCTGCTTCAGGTATGACCACTTGATCCCACTACCAATTTCAAAACGAAAAAGGATAATTGAAAACCTACAAAGCATATTAACCTTCTATTCATAAGAAAATGTGTATATCATATACCATATTTGCCCATTTATCCGTTTTCAGATAGCCCACCCTTCTGCCTTAGGCCTGGAAGTTGGTCAAGAGATTCAGGTGAAATATTTCGGAAGGGATCCAGTATCAGGACTGATGAGGTTATCCAGAAAAGTTCTACAAGCTATGCCCAGATAGTAAATAATGTTGAGTGTTAATAAAAGGTTTTAACTCCTTATTTTTGTTAATTTTTGTATAAAATACATAATCATGAAATAAATATACGTGATTATGATTTTAATTGCAAAACTTTTTTTTGATCGCATCCAAATTCCTGATTCACATAACCCTAACCTCGAACCTCTTGCTACTCCTAAGAATCATATAATCAAGGATTGAAACCCGCTTGGCACCCGCCTTAGTTGTAACTCCTCTGGTCAGATTCCCTTTGCACCGCGGTCTTTGCCCCACTTTGATCGCTCTGAATGTCACAATGTCTCCTCTGAACCATTCGTAGTCCATTCACTCCCAGACAAAACAGAACATGCCCAAAAGCGAGATTGTACAGGTCCGTATTTTCTTCAATGGTCTTGGAATAATCTAACAAGGCAGCAGCGGTGGCCGCAGTAGTAAACTCTTCGGTCTCCTGATCAGTCGCCATGCGGTGTGCGGGTTCTAGTCCCGTTCCAGGAGAAATTTTTCTCTTGGCTATGGATGTTGTGATTGTCCGTAGATGGTAGACGGTTTCTGACTGTCGAACGCGGAGGTACCACCCGGCGGATCTTTTAGGCGGAGCCAGAATGTGTGCATGTTGCATGCACACGTGTTCCCTCGCCAGAGTCCGTGTGGCGTTCCCCCTTTTCCCTGTATCCCCTTATAGCCCCACGGTACCCAATGGGTGTTTAGGCCTTAGGCCTTCGTGGTAGTTGGAGTATAAAAAAAATACAAGATAAATGATTATTTTTATAGAAAGAAGTGCACATGCTTTTCACAATTCTTCATTCGCTAGAAGTACTTGAATACTTATCTGAATGATGTTGGTTCCAAATCTACCAGATATAGCTAAGTTTTCAGCGTGGGCTCATAGATTCAGTCTACTTGACACCATTTTTACAAGACAATTGGTTAGATACACGTACCTGACGGATTCTTTAGGCCAGTGGTTAGTCTATCTAAGATGGCATGTCTTGTTGATTCAATTGTAGAATAAGCCCATACTTTAGGATTTGTATGTCCTGCATTTATACAGGTTTCATTCAAGTAATAAATCTTCCTGCCCTGGTCGATGTATTTCTTTATTGATTTTAAATAATTTCTTCTCCATAAAATAATCTCGTGGCTGTCCATCAAAACACTATTTCTGCCCTGTTTTCTATACTCAAAATGAAGTTCTTTAGGTAAACTATAGAATGTGGACCTTTTGAAAGTAGGTAAGTCCAGTTTTTTTTATAGACACCGTGGATATGTACATTTACTTTTTTTTCCAAAGACTTCAGTATCAACCAGTCTTGAAGAAGAATGAAAAAAGCTTCTGCTCAAAACTTGTTGGTTGGTTATTGAAGAAAAACTGCCCATTGACTTCTTCGCAACAACCAGTGGAAAAGGGTCGCAAATAAAGACAAAACTCGCTTGATGGAAATAAGAGTTTTGGGTTTGTTTCAGTTTTGTTTATCTTTTTCAGCTTTTAGAAGATACAAACACAACATAAACTCGACTGTTCTTTTAGTGAGAAAACCGCCTTTATCAAGTGGTTATAGGCCACAAAGCCTAGTCTCAATGTAGGGCTCAAACTCGTACAATCATAATTTGGGTGTCACTTTAACATGCCTTTCTTTTCAAAAGAAATGTTGACTCCGATGATAGCCATCTAGCGATTGGAGATAATCGAGTGCGAATATAACTTCCTCTTGTAGATATCTTCATAATGCCTTCAGTAACTGGAAGTTGCTTCAAGCTCAGGGGACCCAGAATGGAGGAAATTTCCTAGAATCAAGATGACAGAGTCCCATACACATGGCGAAGCACACAATATACGCATATGAATGTTTTTTTCTATAATTGTTGGCTCCTGCGGAATGATTTTGGAATCATTTACAGCAGAAGAACAATTTTCTATTTGCGCCTCTCCTACTACTAGCAAATTATCTAGTTATCATCTCTGTTCCAGTATTTTCTTTTTTGTGACGATGCCCAAAATTTCCCTTTACGTATGTTCGAGCACCCGTTGAGGGCCAGTAGATCCTGTGAAGTCAGAACGACTGACGTAGCTCCTCTCCGAACTGTATCCGAGAATTCGACAGAACATTGTCTCAATTATCTAGGTATTTCTGTTCCTCTATTTCCTTTTTTGTGGCGATCTTCAAGATTTCCCTTCACGTATGCTCAGGCACCCACAGAGGGCCAGTAAATCCTATGAAGTCTGAACGACATACCCCCTCTCCGAACTATATCCGAGAATTCGCCAGAACATGTATACTTTACTCTGCTCCACTATTTTCTTCTATGTGACGATACCCAAGATTTCCCTTCACGTATGTTCAGGCACCCACAGAGGGCCAGTACGTCCTGTGAAGTCTGAACGACATATGTAGCTCCTCTCCGAACTATATCCGAGAATTCGTTAGAAAATGTATACTACGCATTGTCTCAAATCTCTAGTTATCATCTCTGTTCCGCTATCTTCTTCTATGTGACGATTCCCAAGATTTCCCTTCACGTATGTTCGGGCACCTGTTGAGGGTCAGTACGTTCTGTGAAGTCTGAACGACATAGCTCCTCGTCAAACTATATCCAAGAATTCGGCAGAACATGTATACTATGCATTGTCTCAATTACCTAGTTATCGTCCCTGTTTTCTTTTTGTTGTGACGATCTCCAAAATTTCTCTTTGCGTATGTTCGGGAACCCGTTGATGGTCGGCAGTTCCCGTGAAGTCTGAATGTCATATGAAGCTCCTCTCCGAACTATATTCGAGAATTCGGCAGAACATCTATGCTATGCATTGTCTCGCGCCGTTCTCAAGGCAACCGGGCTGCCGCTGCCGCGAAAAGGGGGCTTGCCCGCCACCGGCGTTGCACATCCAGACGACGGCGTCTGCCGCCTCAACGCTCTACGCGCCACGCTCAGCCTATCAGTCTGGCCGCCGCCTCCAGTTCGCACTATCGGTCGCGAATCGCGCGCGTGCGACTGATGTTGCCGCGTGAATCCACGCGCGATGCACCCCCCCACGTCGGCCCTGAACGACACCGTCATCCAGTGCGTGGACGGCTTGATGCTGCCCTGTTGGCGGCCCCTGGAAGATGTTCCTTTGCCGGAGCGCGTCGGCAGGGGGATCGTCTACTTCTTCGCACTCGCTTATCTCTTCATCGGCGTTTCGATCATCTCGGATCGCTTCATGGCTGCCATTGAGGTTATCACCTCCCAGGAGCGAGAGGTCACTGTTAGGAAGGCTAATGGTGACACACAGATCGTTGTTGTACGAGTTTGGAATGAGACTGTCGCTAATCTTACCCTTATGGCTTTGGGGTCCAGCGCGCCTGAAATTCTTCTTTCTGTCATTGAGATCTACGCGAAGAATTTTGAAGCTGGAGACTTGGGACCTGGAACTATCGTCGGTTCTGCGGCTTATAACCTTTTGGTTATCATAGCGCTGTGTGTCTCCGTGATACCCAATGGGGAAGTCCGGAAGATTAAGCATCTAGGCGTGTTCTTCGTCACAGCTACATGGTCGGTCTTCGCCTACGTGTGGCTCTACCTGATCCTGTGCTTTTTCTCGCCTGGTATCGTGGAAATCTGGGAAGGACTCCTTACGTTCCTGTTCTTTCCTCTCACTGTCTTAACTGCCTACGCAGCTGACAGAAAGCTCCATAAATTCGTGCGTAAAGACTACCGCATGAATCGCAGAGGCGTAATCGTTCAAGCAGAAGGAGCAGACAACCTGGAAATGGGCAACACCGAACTCCTGGCTGACGACGTCCATGAAGACATAAAGAACGAGTACATCAGCACCCTCAAGGAGCTTAGACAGCAAAATCCCCACGCAGATCTCAGCATGCTAGAAAAGATGGCACACGAGATCCTCTTGAACAAGGGACCGAAATCAAGAGCATTTTACCGAATCCAAGCCACCAGAAAGCTCATGGGCAGCGGAGACCTTCTGAGGCGTATCTCAGAAAGAGCTCAGAGCGATCTAAGCGAGGTGAAGGCCGAGTTACAAAGGGAATCTGGCCAGACGGGTTACAGCCAAGGTGGGAGCCGAGTGTGTTTCGATCCTTGCAAGTATACGGTGCTGGAAAGCTGTGGGAGGTTCGAGGTCAGGGTTGTGAGAATGGGAGATGTGGATAGCATTGTCTCCGTGGATTACACGACAGAAGATGGAACTGCGCAGGTCGGCAGTGATTACGTCAAGGCCATGGGGACATTGCAGTTTGCACCAGGAGAAAAAGAGAAAAGGTAAGGCTCAATTGTAACTTACTGGCCCATATATATTTATGGTTCTTCTACCCTTCTTCACATCAGCAGATATAAAGATTTGAGGAGCATGAAACAGTTGTTACAAACACCAAGTTTCAGGTCTTGGATTTCAAGGCTCTTGGCTCCCATAGCTGTGTGAGTAGCTTTGATACTCAACGAGGACTTTTCAGTTCTTCATAGCTGTTTGAATTAATCCTGTGCCGATCTCCAACAATGAATGTTTCTGTAAAACTCAGTGGAGGACTGTAAGTCCAAATATTTGGGGCGTCTTCAGTTACAATGTGGCTTTATTTGCTTTTTTTCGTCAAGGGTTGTCAAGATCTATGAAGAATTGCTCATTATCATTTTCTTCTTAATTCTTAACTACAACTTTAGGGAAAAATGGCCAAATCTAGACATTATCCAAGGAGATCCAAAATTTCGTAATCTAAAGAGCCATGAACTAATAATAAGAGCTTCTGCGTTAGATAGTATCAATGATTGACTACCTTGTTGGATGGTGACTTATTAGGCCGATTTACAAGCAAATCACAATCTGGCAGTTTCGGAGTGTCGTTTGACGCGTAGGAATGGTGTGCATGATTGGAGCGTGCGCGCATGACACGTTCTATAAAAAATATACCACTTTACACGTTCATTTTTTCCAGCAGTTTTGGCGCGTAAACTGCGAGTATGAAGTTGACACGAGGAGCGCGGGCTAGATCGCATTTGCACAAACACATCTGGACTGTGTTCTGGACTTCGTGCTCAGCGGTTCCTAAGCATAACTACGAAATAGCACCAGCACCATTTTTAATCTGGCACATAAGAACCACTACGCAAGACCGCAATTCATGTGAGCACTTACACGACGTGTTGGAATGAGAATTGGTCAAAACTGTTGAAAAAACTACGTGTAAATCGGTCAAGTAGTCTTTAGGGATTCAGCAAGTCAAACAGCTTGATATTTTCATAAACTACATGACATAAAAATAGAATTACTTGAAACATTAATGCTTGGACTTGACTTTTTTGATTTTTTATTCTTCTACTTGATTCGAGGTCAAGCATTTTCAAACTCTTACTTGATACTTGATGGCAAATTATATGTTTGTACTCCTAAAGACCTTCAGTGATATTTATCGATGAGCCCTACTTTGTATTTTAATGTGAAGAATCACGTAGTAAATCGAAAATTGTCACTGCCATCTCAAATGATGCATGCAAACAGCGTTGCTAAACCAAAAACACGAAATCGGTAGTTCGTGTCGTTGAAATTCGGTAGATTCAAGGACAGACCCAACAAGAAGAAAAAATCAAGACAGGCGTAAGATCAGCGGCGAATCAAGGGCTTTTAGGCCACGTAGTATGAAAAGTATATTTTCCCATAGCGCTGGCACACAGCATAAATAATCAAGTTTTCTATAAATATAGAAGCAAATTGAAACTCAACAACTAATTTTACATGCTTTTTTTCAAGAACAGAATATCAGGTCCATACATCTTCAGCTATTATATTCAAGAGGCGCAACTTAAACATGATTATTATGATATAAGAGTGTAGTTCAAAATCCGCTCAGTTGTCACTTCTATTATTTTTAATTTTACCACCATTATAAATTCGTTGGGACCTTGATGCGTCTTAACTCGTGGTACAGCGAATACAAATCTAACTTAGATTTTTTAAGTTTTTTGTATCAGCTGATGAGCAAATATTTTTTAACTTGAGTTTATAATTTTATCGTTCTATAATGCATTACACGATGAACAAATCATTTTGTTCAATATGTATTGTTTTCTCAGATACCTGTGACAAATAAAGCCTTTCCGTTGTGAGTTTTTTTAACACTCCAACTACCACGAAGGCCTAAGGCTTAAACACCCATTCGGTTCCGTGGGGCTATAGGGGGATACAGGGGAAAGGGGGACCGCCACACGGACTCTGGCGAGGGAACACGTGTGCATGCAACATGCACACATTCTGGCTTCGCCTACGAGATCCGCCGGGTGGTACCTCCACGTTCGACAGTCAGAGACCGTCTACCACCTACGGACAATCACAACATCCATAGCCAAGAGAAACATTTCTCCTGGGACGGGACTCGAACCCGCACAGCGCACGGCGACTGATCAGGAGACCGAAGAGTCTACTACTGCGCCCACCGCTGCTGCCTGAATTGTGTGTGTATTAATAATCCGCTCGTATTTATATTACCGACATTATCAAGTAATAACAAGACTATCTGAATTTTCAAGTGCTTGACAGACAGACGTAACAGCTACTTGACATGATACCAGATTGCTAACATCTTGAGCTTGACTTGCTTTAGAAGTCAGTTTAAGGAAAGTAGCTTGAAAATCAAGTCAAGAAGTAAAGCACTAGTAGTGTTGCTAGGTTCGATTTGTTTTAACGTGGGACAAGCTAAAAATAAATCGGGTCTTAGGGTTGTAGATCGGGACAAACAGAAAAAAAGTTTTTTTAAAATTAGGGTTTAATAGGTATATTGTCTTTGGTACCTAATATATAGTATATTAGTTATTAATACTTCTTATAAGTTTAAATAATTTATTATTTTGCTGCCTTTAAGATTGCCTTGTTTTTTATAAACGTAGTATAACAGCCACTTCAAGCCGTACTAAAGTTGGGTTTAATTTGAATTGTTGTCTTGATATTTTCGAGTGTGAAACTGTTTTGCGTCTCAGAGGCGGATGCGCGGTTATACTATAAGGTTGGTTATCTTCAGGTAGAATACGATAATTAATCAATGACACTTCTTCATAAAGCTGATCCATACCAAAGAACATATGCATTTTTTATTTTAGATTTTGCATTCTCGCACTCCACATAGTGATAAATATACTAAGTGACATATAAATCCGAACACCTAGTTTAAATGGTTTTATTGGTTGGAAAGTTGGATCTGCCAGGGTGTCAAGATACGGTAAAAGATGGGGTTCTAGAACTTCGTGGATATAACGCTGCAGCGTTCATGTTACCTCTGATGAAGATTAAAGGTGTCCTGGAACCATAAGCTATAGCACCCCAAACCATAACTCCAACAGTGTGATGAACATGTCTTTCAACAAAAAACTGTTTATTCCTCCTTTCACCACGTCGCCTTCTAACCCTGGCACGACCATCGTGCACGCCTAAACAAAATCGAGACTCGTCACTAAAGACAATACTGTTCCATTCCTGATCCCAGAGTGACCGTTGTCTGCACCACTCAAGGCGATTACGTCGGTGTTCTCGAGTTAAAGGGAGGACCCAGTGTGGCCGGTATGAAAACAAGCCAAAACTTCTCATTCATCGGTAAACACTTCGCAAGCCAATAGGTCTTCCGTGTTCTGTAAACCATTCATTTGCAATGGACCTGGTAGTGGAGAAACGGTCCCTTAAGGCCAATAATCTTAGGCGGCGATCTTCACGGTCTGTTGTTCTACGGCGGCGTCCAGTGCCCCTTGCTCTTTGCGTACGGCCTTCTCAGAGCCATGCCTGAGAACACCTAACCACAGTGTCTACACTTCTTTGCACTCTAACTGCAATTGCCCGAAAAGAAGGTCCAGCTTCCCGAAGTCCCACTATACGGCCCCTATCAAACTCACTAAGTTGACAAAATCGTACAGGTCTCCGTACTCTAGGCATCGTAACCGATCGTAAAGGATGTCAAGAACCAAAATCCGCCAACGAAGATTCTTTACTGCGGCTGAAATATTCATTTTTAGAGCGTTAGTGAATAAAAAAAAAGCAGTATAAAAACCGGAATGTCCAACTGATAAGGCTGAAAATTTTTTCACTTGTTATTTACAGTAAGATAAATACATTCACCAACTTTTATTAAAATAAAACCATTTAAACTGGGTGTTCGGATTTATATGTCACTTAGTATACATATATTGATCGTTTTATCGGATGCAAAAGCGGCATTTGAATTCATAGTTCGTAAATATTCCAAGTAGGAAGGGTGGTGTAACTACTTCCACTATGCATATTGTTAACATAATTAAAAACGAAACGCGTAATAGCTATTGAATTAATCGAATACGAGTACAAGAATAAAAGTGATTATTATTTCCTACTGTGCTGAATTGATTAAGTGGTATAACTATAGCGAGCATCTAAACAATTAAGCAAATAGAGGCAATCTATAGGAAGGCCTACCTCGGAAGTCCTGCCCTTTTTAAATAAGAAAGGTTTGGCGATGTATGGCATATGCATTTTTGGAATCAGAATTAAAAACTCGATTTACCTCTGCAAAAATCCAATATGGCATCTATAAGAAAAAATAAAGTTGATGCTGGAGGACAAGAGATGAAACATCATATTGAAATTCTAATTATCATTTTGTAGAGGAGAAAAATGTTAATGTGCGATTTATTCTGGAATCCCTCTACAAATAAAGACAGAAAAAATCAAATCAATTTTTGGAAAAATCTGTTTTTTCCGTTTCTCCCCGGAAGTTCTCTGAATTTCAAAACTTTCTATGGGGCATTTTGTTAGTTTCCAAAATAAGCAATTTTGCTTCCATTTAAGCGACTTCATATCTCCTACCGTTTCTGAGATCCCAATGGTATGGGTCGAATTTGAAACACCCTCTAAAAAAATCCAAAGTATTTTGATAACTTTTGATTTTGAAAAGCTTCTTTCAGCTACTGCAGTTGTAATCTAGAGGATGAATATGGGAAGCATGGTATTTTAAGGTTTAGCACTTGAGCATTTTCAATTCAGTGTACGGCTCAACAACTTGCGTGAGATTGTGAAAAACGCATTATGCATTTTTGCTCTTGTAAGCTGGTTTCATTGATACGGTTGATACGACGGTAACTACGCCCCTACAACCAGTAACTATCGTCAGATTATCATCAGGAGCCGAGTAGATTGACTGTGAAATGGTGATCATCCCAGAAGGGCGCAAAGGGATAACTTTACCAGAATCCTAATTTTTCGTAGTTGGTTAGTGACTACTCTTCGAGTAATTGATCGATGTAACCATTTGTGG